TTCCTGGTCCCTTGGCCGAACACTGTGCCTTGTGCTGGTCCCTCCTCAGTGACCCCAGATTCTCATCTGACCCTGAGGCCTGTGCAGCTGCAGCCCTGCCTCAGCCCTCTCCTCAGCTGCCCTGCGTGACTCACCTGCAGGCATCTTGTCTCAAAACAAATGTTTGAGAAAGGACCAGATCCAGCAGCCACCCTGGAGCCTGCTGTGAGGTGGGCTGGATGGGCATGAAGCCCAGCATGTGGCGAGGCCCCTAGGGACACAAAGGGAGGCCAAGGGCTGTTTGCTTTCTGGGGTTGACCTCTCTTCTCCTCTCAGCTGCAATCTGCTGCACTGGATAAGATGGGCCATACATGATTGCTGATAGGGGACAATCTGCAGACTCTGCTGGCATCAGGAGGGTATCACCAGGAACCTGTGGGGTCTCTTGTTACAGGCACACCTTCAGCAGCGGAACCTGGGGACATCTCCAAAACAACCCCACCTTCTTCCTTCCATTTTCTTTTCTTTCCCACCCTCCTTCTCTCTCCCCCTCTCTTTCTTTCTTGTCCAGCTCAATAACTGTAAATCTTGTTCACTTTGAAAGTTTTTTCTTTTAAAAGTATTTATTTTGGCCGGGGGTTGGTGACTCATGCATTTGATCCCAGCACTCAGGAAGCAGAGGCAGGCGGATCTCTGTGAGTTCAAGTCCAGCCTGGTTTACAATAGCTAGTTCCAGGACAGCCTCCAAAGCCACAGAGAAACCCTGTCTCGAAATATGTGTGTGTGTGTGTGTGTGTGTGTGTGTGTGTGTATGTGTGTGTGTGCACTTGTGTGCCTGGAGCCTGCAGAGAGAGGTCAAAAGCTCCGGGATCCCCCGGAGCTGTGAGGCACCATGTGGGTTCTGGGAGCCAGGTCCTCTGCAGGAACAGCCAGTGCTCTTTGCCACTGAACTCTCCCTCTAGCCTGTACAGCTTGTCTTTTTATTTTTGTTACAAAGGAAGTGGTGGGATTGTTCTTGAGGTTGGCTAAAAAGTTCCAAAGCCCTAGTGTCACGTCCCATGTTGGATGAATTCAGGAAAATAATTTACACCACCAAGAAGCAGACAGTACTTTGTGTCATCACTGGGCTTGAGGCTCAGGGATCAGGGGCTTTGAACTCTAGGCCAACAGCCTGGCCAACCACTGTAACCAGTGCAGCTCCAGTCAGGGACACACAGTCTGTCCTAACTACCACCTGCATCCTGGAGATTTCAATGGGGCTCCCTCACACATCCTCTATGGCTCCCTACTGCCCTCCTACACTTTCTCCTCCCGGTCCTATTCTTGTTTGGTGCTCTGTGGCACTTCAGGCAAACTTCCTGGGGGTGGCTGGTCTAGAGCTGTACATAGGCATGACTCAATACTGCCACAATGGAGGGCTATAGGATGACAGCCATCTACCTTTTACTCACACATGCCTAGCAGGTACTCTGCAGCTGAGCCTTGCTCCCCCTCCCCCCCTCCCCCAAAGGATGCTGAGTTTTTAGAAAAGCACAAAGCAGAGTCTGGTCAGGCTCTGTGCTCCCAGGGCAACTGTATTTCAACTCCCGCTGAGTAGCCATGGTCTGGCCAGGTATGGAGAACAGTATGGAGAACCAGAGAGGTGCAGCCACTGGCTACAGATCATACAGCAACCTCAGTGGGATTCTAGTGGATGATGTCCTGTGCGGGGAGCCCCAGTTCTGAGGGAGGACCCCAATACTCCCTGCATTGTGAGGCTCAACCTTGAATTTGTTTGGGACTTGAGACAGTTCCAGGTAGCCCAGGCTGGCTTTACATCCATCACAAAGTCAACGATGATGCCTTCAGCTTCTGGTCCTCCTACCTCCGCTGCCTGGGCCACTCAGCTGGGTGGTCGTTGGGTTTCTGCTTCACAGGTATCCTAGAGCTAGGCAAGCCTGGAGCTGATGCTGCCAAGGAACTTAACTACTTCCTGTCTGGTGAGGCCCCGTGTCTCCTGACTGTTGTGGCCCTGTCTCCTCTGTCCCTCCTGTCTGCTGTGGCCCCCTCCATCCTGCTGCCCCAGAGCTAACAGGAATGTCTGCCCAGCTCTTGGCCTCAGCCATGGCTGCCAGATTGGCAGGGGAACCCTGGAGGGGAGGGCCCCACCTGGCCCTTTGGGCAATCAATAGAGTGTGGGCATGAGCAGGAGGTTAGGGCTCAGTGCTCTGTCCTGGAGGGCCGCAGGAGGGTCGACAGAGTCTGGTGAGTCAGCAGGTGGAGCTTCAAGTGAGCTTCTAGAATTTCTATTCAAATGAGCTCCACCACAGGATAGAGCTGTGCAGAACAGCCAGGGGCCTGTATGTGCAAAAATGCTAAAGACAATATTAGAGGATTGAAGCCAGCTGTGAAGGACACAGGGTGCGGGGGGGGGGGGGTTGCTTCATGCCAGGGACCAAGGGGACCCTGGAGCTCTAAGGGCCTGGATCATTCAAACACATGAAGAGGAAAAATTCCCCAAAACCAGTTCCCCGTGCTGAGGAGCCGATAACATCCCACAGCCCTTCCAAGACTTAAAGCCTTGTGCTAAATGAGGAACTGGAGAAATCAGGCTGATGGAAGCCCGGAAGTGGATCTGGCCGCTGGCCTCAGGTCAGGTGACTGAAGGGCAGACTGATATATTCCAGGTGTGGCAGGGCTGAGGCCACCCTGGCTGGCAGTAAAAGCTGTTGTGAGGATGTTTGTCACTGAGATAAGAAAAAGAACAGAGGCCAGGGTGAAACAGAAAAGGGGGCCATCGAGAGGGCTCAGTAGGTAAAGGAGGTTGCTGCCAAGCCTGAGAACCTAAGTTTGACCCTCCTGTCTCACAGGGAGGAAGAAGAGGGAGCCAATTCCTGCATGCTGTCCTCTGGGCTGCATAGGCCTGGCATTACTATGTGTCTGCATACACACAAATAAAAGCAACACTTTTTTTTTTTAATATAAAGGAAGGGATGACAGGGCATTGGTGGCACAGGCTTTTAATCCCAGCACTCAGGAGGCAGAGGGAGGTGGATCTCTGTGAGTTCAAGGCCAGCCTGATCTACAGAGCGAGTTCCAGGACAGCCAGGGCTGTTACACAGAGAAACCCTGTCTCAGAAAACCAATAGATAGATGGATGTGTGGATAGACAGATGGATAGACAAAATAAGGAAGTGGTGGGTCCTGGAGGTGAGGGTGTGGGAGGCTCCTGAACTTGCTTAACAAAGTGAAGATAGAATGAGATAGAGAGGCAAGAGGTCGTCCTGAGCTATACAGCAAATGACAGGCCAACCTGGGCTACATTGATTTTGTCTCAGTCTTGCCCCTTAAATTAAGTACGGTGACCTGAGGAGAGTGGCTTCCATGATGTGGTGCCTGCTTAGGGCCCTGATGCGCAGTTTTGTAGAATATTCCTTTACACTGCGAGAATACATGTCACTGTGATAGGTTTAATGAGGAAACTGGCTGGCCTGTAGTTAGACAGGATAGGGTTAGCATGAGAACCAGACTAAGAGAATGCTGGGAAGAAGGAGGGCAGCGTCTGAGGATTCCAGAGGCAGACTGGAAATATGTTCACAGATTTCATGGGGGCAGTACATAGATTAATATAAATGGGTTCATTTAAATTGGAGACAAGCCTGAGGTATCGCCAAGCATTTATATTAACTAATAGTAAGTCTCTGTGTGGTTATTCGGGAGTAGTTACCGAGACGCATACAACAAATCTTTGCCAGGTCATGATACTTATTTTCTTGTTGCCCTTTTTTGTTGTTGTTGTTTTGTTTTTTTTTGAATCTGGAACTCACAGCATCCTTCTGCCTCAGCTTTCTGAGGGCTGGGATCTCAGGTGTATACCACTGCAGTTGCTTCTGTAGATTCCCTAACTTACAGTGTAGGCTTGTGTCTGTAGATATTTCTTACACTATTTGTCTAGGGAACCAGGACCCCAAATGATGATCATGTATGTTCAATTAAAACTTTTAAAAATATGTTTTAATCTATGGGTTCCATACTGATACTGATAGCCAACTGATTATGTCAAATGCCATCGTACATGAACACAATTTTATTCATTGTAGACAAAAGCTGGAAGCAATCTGGCTATCCTGCTGGGCATGGATGACACATTTTGGTGTATCTATACAATAGAATACTACTTGGCATTGAAAAAGAGTGGAATATCGTTAAAAACAAAAGCATGGAGAGATAACTAGACATCATCCAGACTTTCTTAAGACCTTTTGTCAAAAAAAAAAAAAAAATGGAGGTTTAGGTGTGCAGTTCAGTGGTAGAGACTTGCCTAGCAGTACCCAGGTGTGAAGGGTGGAGAGCTTGGGAGGTGACATACATGGGATCTCCTGGAAGCTGAAAGAGATTGTGACCACACCCATGTGCCTTGTGAAGGCTCTGAGAATCCATCTCTTGGCAGCTGCAGCAATCTTCGGGCTCTGTGTCCTGGAGACACCTGGTTCTCCCTCTGCCTTGGTTTCCCTGAACTGCGTCTGTCCCTTCCAGTATTTTTTAAAATTTCCTTCGTGGTGGTGGGGATGGGACCTTGGGCCCACTGCATGCTGGGCAAGCCCTTTACCGCTGAGCATGGGGCCAGCCCAGGTTACCTGTATTTGTTTGTTTGGAGAAGGGTGTCCTGTAGCCCAGGCCGGCCTCAAATACACTGTGTAGCTCAGAATGACCTTGAACTTCTGAACCTCCCCAGTGTCTGGATGACAGCCCTCAGTTTCTCTGCCTGTTAAATGTGCCTGGGTGGCTCAGCTCCAAACCTCAATTTGAAGCAGCTGGGCTTTCTCGGCCACTGGCTGCAGCTCTACAAGGTCCCGAAGGTTCCAGACGTTTCCTATGTGGATGGAGAACCACCCCTCTTCGTTTGGGGTGCGGGTGGGACCCGGGGACCCGGGAGGGGGCGAGGCCTGTGCCAACCAAGCTTCTGAACACGCTCCCGTCCAGCCAATCAGAAAGGAGACTGCTGGCCCACGACCCGCGATTGGCCTTCTAAGGCCCCGCCCTCAGAGGTTGGTCTCAAGATCGTGGCTGGGGGACAGCGGGTGGGCTTCGTCTCCTGGCAGGAAGCCAGGGGGCTTTTTGCTCGCCGCAGGGATGTCTTCCGGACCCTGAGAGAAAGCAGAGAAAGCGGAGGACATCACATATCCTCCCCAGATGGCCTCCCCGAGGACCAGATCGGCCACGTGCCCGGTGGCCCACCCCCAGCTCAACCTCCTGCCGCCACCACCCGGTGCTGAGCAGGCACTCTACCAAGCCTCAGCCTTGTTCTATCTCAGGCTATGTTTTGAGACAGGGTCTCACTCTGTATCCCAGGGGAGCCTCAAACTTACGGTGATTGTCCTGTCCCATGCTGACACCACCACCATACCCGCACCCAGACTCATTATTGTTACTTTATTTTTGTATTATGGGTATGCAAGTTTGGTCAGCATGTGCACACCTGAAGCCAGAAGGGGGCGGGGGATGCCCAACAGCTACAGCGGTGATTGCAGGGCAGACAAGCCACTGTTTCCTTCTCACTGTCACTTAAGACAGGCTCTCATGGGCCGGACAGGCCTCAAGCCTGCTACAGCTCAGGCTGGCTTCCCACTCCACACTTCTGCCTTTGGTGTCACCTGCTAGAAAGCCTCTTTCTTTGTGTCACTCTGGTCTCTCAGGAGGTGACAGTGTATCCCACTTGGGGGGCACCAGCTCTTCGCCCCTAGCTCGGCTCCAGTCCACCCCCCTTTCCTTATGTAATTCTGAATTAAGTAATGTTATCTTAAGAATATTCTTCAGCAGTGTCTCTCTCTCAGGGAAACCAGTTTCCCCTGCCACAGGCAGGAAATAATTGTTTAAAAAAACAGACATGATAAAAATAGACAGTGCTCTTGTGTGTCAGCTCTGGGAAAGGGATAGCTTTAACAGCAGAGAGGAATCTGCCCAGCCCCTGGGGCTGCACCCGCTGGGTCCCCACGGCCCTGGCGCCCAGCGACCCAAGCTGGAGCTGACCTTCACTAGGCTGTCCTCCAAGGTGGCAGTGTCCTCCTTTGGGGCCATGGATGCGGTCTGCCGAGCAAGATCCCACCACAGCAGTCCGGGGCCCAGGGAGCTGCGCTTGGTGGGGCCTGAGGGGCAGAAGGACAGGAACTCGAGTTTGGGTGCTGGTCCAGCCCGGGCTCCATCCATGGCTGCCCATTGGTGGGGAGTCCGGTTGGCTTTAGTTTTAGGTTAATTTTCTCTTTTGAGACAGGGTACCTAGTCTGTCTGGGAATTCATGGCAATCCTGCCTCTGCTTCTGGAATGGGCACAATCATAGGTGGGCACTATCACTAAGCAGGCTGAGAGTGTCCAGCATTCTGTCCACTCACTGTTTCAACCCTAGTGTCTGGAAGTTCAGCAAAAGCCTGAGGGCATCAACTCTATCAGAGGCACAACCCAGGCTTGGGCTGTGGTTGGCTAGCAATGGGTTGGAAGCTCAGTGGTGGAGGGCTTCCTTGTGGTGCACGGATGAGTCCCACCTTCCATTCCCAGAACACATAAGCCAGGCGTGGCAGTGCATGTTCTCATGAGGATCCTAAGTTCAAGGTCTGCCTCAGCTACATAAGGAATTCGAGGCTAGCCTGAGCTACGTGAGACCCTGTCTCAAAAGGAAGTACGTGAATTAAGAGAAGTAAGTATAGCATGAATTGAGTGTGGGGATGCACACATACAATCCAAGCACTCAGGAAGCTGAGGCTAGAGATTGTCACGTGTGAGGGTCAGCCTGAGCTACAGAGTGAGACCCCTCCCCCATCTCAAACCCAAGCAAACTGAATTCTACTGGGCCCAGGAACCTCCCCATGCAGAGATATGGCTTCAGGACCGCGGACAGCGCCCCTCATCCCAGGGCCTTGGCCTGGATTCTCCTGAAGGAACCAGCAACACTTCCCACACCTGCACAATAGAACCGGCCTCATGGGGCACAGGGGCACAGGGTGCCTCAAGGGTGCCAGCTCACAGCAGATGGAGAGTGGGGGTGGAGTCAGGAGGATGAACTGCGGAAGCTGCTGCACTTACCTGTTAGATAGCTGATAAGGACACCACACAGCATGGTGGTCAGGGTGCCCAGAGCCCCGTAGTAGAGATAGGAGATGGCATAGAAGTTGTCCGAGAGGGCGGGGCGGCCTGCTTCCGTCCCAGAGCTGGGGGAGGGGGCAGGCACAAGATGCTGTCTACCCACACCACCCACTCCACCACCGTGTCAGCTCAGACCTGTTGAGGAGCTGGGTCTCCCTGCCCACTATGGCTCCCCATTGATTTTGGAAAAAGTGAAACTGAATGTTTAGAAAAAAAAAAAAAAAAAAAAAAAAAAAAGTAAACTGGGCCGGGCACGGTTGGTGGTGCACACCTTAAATCCTAGCACTCGGAAGACAGAGGCAGGCGGATCTCTGTAAGATCAAGGCCAGCCTGATCTACCTAGCTAGTTCCAGGGCAGGCTCCAAAACAATACAGAGAAACCCTGTCACAACAAAACAAAACAAAAACCAACCAACCAAACAAACAAAAAACAAAAAATAAAACAAACAACAACAGCAAAAAAAAAAAAGAAAGAAAGAAAAGTAAACCTTTTGGTCAACCTCCATAGATGCACCCTCTGAATCAGAGGGACTCTCAGAAAAACTTCAATGGGAAGTTCAATGATCAAGTCTTGGAGTTTCAAATGGGCATGGAGCATTTTCTCTTTATTTTTCTAGAAGGAACCCAGGCTCCCTCCCTTGCTAGAAAAGTTCTCAGCCACTGAGCTACATCCCAGCCCAGGCCTCCTCTTGAGGAGTAGAAGCTTATGCACACTTTGCTTTGCGCAGAATGGTTTATTGAAGTTCTGTTCACAACAGCCCCAACCAGGACACTGCCCACATGTCCATTAACTGATCAGCAGTTACACATTTGTGGTATGTCCATTCAATAGAATATTACTCGGCCATGAAAAGGAAAGATGCAATGGTATATCTTTCATTAACAGATAATCATTGATGAACTTTCAAAACAACTTGAGACACAAAATCCCACATATTCTAAGATTTTGTTCAATATGAAAAGCCTAGAAGAGGTAAACCCACAGACAGAAAACATGGATCACCCAAGAAGCTAGGAGAATTAAAAATGTTAATTTATTAACATAAGCCCAAATTGTCTTCAAACTAACTCTACAGCCAAAGAATCCATGATCTCACCTGCTGCCGGCATCTTAACAGGCTCATGCCACCAGATCCAGCTAAACCAGAGTTTTTATGGCTAGTTTTATAGGGTGTTAATTACACCCCAAAACATTATTAAAAAAATAGCCAAATATGTTGGGGCACACCTGCCATCCTAGTGTGCAGCATGAAGCAGGAGGATCAGGGATTTGTTCAAAGTATCTTTGGCTACATAGAAAGTTCTGGCTACATGCGACTTTGTTGCAAACAAGTAAAATACAATACTAAAGTCAAAGCCAGCCAATGCCTTTGCCTTTGACTCCTACTGTTAAGCCCAGCTCACAACCCTGTATCCTCTAGAACCCAAACGTGGTCCCAGGTCCTTTGCACAGACTGTTTTTGTACCTGGCACTCAGTTCCTTCCCGTTGACATCCTGACATCGCACCCTAGACCCCGACCTGCGCTGCTCACCTGGGAACCCCACTGGAGGCGTTGGCAGCTCTGGGTGGGCCCATGAGGACCGAGGCGTTGGTGCAGCTGGCTGCTGAGGTGGGCAGAACCCCCATGATTTGCTCTCCGGGTGGATACAGTGTGGCCCCCACGGCTACCCACAGGGATACAGTCAAGCCTGCAGCCAATCCAGACAGGACGCCCTGGGGGCGGAGCCACCATGAGGGGTGATGTTTCTTTACCTTGCCCCTCAGACCATGTCCACTCCCCACTCACGGGCGTGTTGCAGGCTGGGAGCAGCATCCCTAGAGTGAAGGCACCTAGCAGAGGTCCACTGATGACGCCCATCACCGTGAAGGAGCCCTGCGAGGCAGGTGGAGAAAGAAGGGCTGGGCTTAGCTACCATCTCTCAGGACTCCCACTGCAGGCCTAGAGACTGCTCTGCACCCGTTTCCCCAGTCCTCTTTATCAACGACAGTTGGTAGACAACGACAGGGATGGGTTTCAGGCATGCCCTCCACCTCTCTATGTAGCTAAGGCTGGCCTTGAACTCATCTTCCCGCATCAGCCTCCGGGATGACAGATGCTCACCGTGCCAAGTCCTGCCCCTCCAGTGTCCCCAGTGGCCTGGGCATCTCCTTGAGCCTTGGGTGGGACCCATGTTGGGGGTGCAGGGCAGGTGGGGTAGGGATCTCACCTGGAGGACACCACCTCCCAGCATCGAGGACAGAGCAGCCACCGTGAGGCAGGCTGAGCCGTAGATGAGGGCTGTGGGGAAGGGGTGTCACAGTCAGTGCGGAGTGCCACCCTGGCCCCACACCCTGGTTCCCCAAACTCACACAACCCTTTAGAGATGAGAACGAGCTTCCGAGGTGCCAGGCTAGGCATCCGTGGCTTGATGAGATCTTCCACAGTGACGGCTGCCATGGCATTGATACTGGTGGATGCAGTACTGCCAGTGGAGAAAGAAAGGCAGGGAAGGGCCTCAGGGTACAGTGCTGTGGCCTCAGCACAGGTCATTAGACACTGTCCTGCTGCAGTCCCTATGCCTGGGGCCCTCCTCCAAAATTAATGGACAGGGTCAGTACTTAGCATCCTCAAGGAGATGGCCAGTCAGTGTGGATCAGAGCACCCAGAGGCTGAGCCACAGCAGAGGGAGGAGCAGATGGTCACCTGAGGGTGCCGCTGTAGGCACAGGCCAGGAAGAGTCCAGGGACTCCAGGCAAGTCCTCAAAAATGTCCAACACGAGCAGTGGCATGTACTGTGGGAGACAGAGGCCTCTGGCCATCACACACAGGACATGGGTGGGTGGTTCTTTTTATGCTTTTGGTGTACTGGGCAGGCCAGCCTCATCTACATAGTGAATTAGGCCAGCCTGAACTACCTGAGACCCTGCCTCAACAGTCCAGCTGCTATGATTGTCATGCTGGCCTGAGATCTCATCTCCTCTTGATGTCCTCAGGGGCATCTTTGTGATTCAGTTGGCATGTTCCTCTTGCCTGCTCACACACCCACCATGGTTCCTTACTGCCCCTCACTCAGCCCCCTCTCCTCCCAGCACCTCCTCTGAGCTCCTAGCTCAAGACGTACACACAGACCATGTCCTCTAGAAGGAATGCTTTTCCAGCCCCTACAGCATCCTGGATGGGAATGGGCAGAAAGGGAGGACTCAGGGTCTGATGTGTGAGCTCACCTGGTCTGGTGCTGAGATGCGCTTGGTGAGGAGGGGGTCACAGTCTCTGTAGAAGACGAACATGACGATGCCACAGCAAGCGGCACTGATCACGATCAGAAAGAGGCCCAGCTGGTTGACAAGCAGGGCCCTGAGGTGATGGGGTAGCTTTAGAAGTGTGTGGGGAGGGCAGCCTGTCTCAGAAGCCTCTGCTTGGGTCCCTCACCTGCATACTCACAGCTTGGCCTTCCTCTCGGTGCGGCAGGCCACGTAGCGCTGTACCTGGGCTTGGTTCACACCATACATGGAGAGCCACACCAGTGTGCCTCCCACCATGAAAGTCCAGAAGGTGTAGCGGCTTCGAGGATCAGGGTCAAAACTGAGTAGGGAATGAGGCAGGTTGCTGACTATGTGAAGATGCCCCCCCTCCCCAGATCACCCATAGCTATTCTAGATCCTAAGGGGACATTGGCAGTGAGTTTTGAAGTGTGAGTAGGAGTTTTCTATGTTGAATTTTGTTCCCCTTTGAGAAAACTACCATCCCATCATCCCAATGCTGGGAAGGCGGAGGCATAGATGTGAGGCTAGCCTGGGCTACAGAGTGCAGCCTTGTCTCTCACTCCATCAAGTTGATCCGGGAATGGTTTCGAGCAAGACTAAGCACGTTCCAGGGGCCCCCCATGAGCATGGTGCCGCGGGCCAGGATCACCCAGAAGCCGCTGAGCATCACCACAACCTGGAACACATCTGTCCAGACCACAGCCTTCATACCACCCTGTGCATGAAAGGGGACACGGGTCACAGGCCTGTCCAGGGCTGCTGGAACAGGACTGAGCCAGGAAGAAGGCTTCGGACTCCATCCTGCCTGGCTTCCTGTGGTCCAGGGAACCAAGGTAAGGCCCCCTCTTGAGTTCCCCTACCTGTAAAATAAGGATAGTATGTGTACCTTATTGTGGTTGGTTGGAGGATTAAACAAGATAATGGGTGAAAAAGATGCATTTGCACTTGACGCCCCAGCAAATATTCCAATATCTATTATAATTATCCTGTTTTTAAGGCTTCTGTAGCCCAGGCTGGCTTAGAACTTACAAGCCTTCAGCCTCAGCCTGCCCAGTGCTGCTGTGACAGCAACAGCAGCTACGTCTATTTCCCACACTGTTATTTCTCCCTGTCTTCTGCATTCACTGAAAGCTGAGCCCCCATACCAGGAACATGCCAGCCCCTCAGGTGGCACAGCCAAGACATGGGACCCAGAGAAGAGCAGGCCAGACTCTCAGCCAGCTCCAGCTGAAACCAGCTCACTCTGGAAGGGCAAAGGCTACAACTCAGGGACCAGGGAACCCAGTGCAAGGCAAAACTCCTCAGGGCTGCTGGATTCAGCCACACCCGCTGCACCTGCCCAATAGCCTCTCAGTCCTCAAGGAAGAAGGGCTGTGGAAGCCCAGTTTAAGAAGGGGCTAGCTTGGGAGAGGGGAGTTAGGATGGTGCTACCCCCTGGGGTCGCCCTTAAGACCATGCAGTGGCCACGGCCCACTCACCACCGTCGTGTACAAGGTGCAGATGACTCCCGTGGACAGGAGCGATGCCCAGATGTCCAACCCGGTCACTGCAAAACACACCTCCTGTCAGGCCTTCAGCTTTCTTCCTGCTCACATGAGTTCCAGCCTGGGCTCCTGCTCTCCCAATCCCTCTCCCACCCTCCAGTCAGACCTTGGTTCAGGATGAGCGCGGGCGCGTAGATCACGATGCCTGTGTACAGCATCTGCGGGTGGGGAGGACATCAGCCAAGGTGTGGGGGAACAGGGCGGGGCCAGATAGAAGGAGGGGCGGAGCGGGGTTAAAAGAGGGAGTTTTCAAGAGGGATAGGGTGTGGAGCTGGGCAGGAGAGTGTCTCCAGGCAGTATGAGGGTGGAGTTGTGGGTGTGGTCCTGTTAGGTACCCTGGAACCTGAGCTCACGATGGGTGAGGCCAGGCAGTATGGGGGCGTGGCGTGAAGTCAGGTTGGGGCGGACTGAGTAGCTGGTGTGGGCGTGGTCGGGCGGGCAGCTGGCTTACCGTGGCCACCAGGTACTGCAACGTCCCGCAGAGCCGCACCGCTCGGCTGAAGCGAAGCTCTAGGTACTGCGGAGGGAGCCAGAGCTGGAGGTCACCGGGAAGATGACCCCTCAGCCACCCTCATTGTTCTCACTCTCTCCCTGGTGCCCAGCTACGCTTACGCAGTTCTTTTGAGTCGGGGTCTCTGTAAATCAAGCTGGCTTGGAACTCGAGGCAATCCTGTTGCCAGAGGTTCTCTAGTACTGAGATATCAGGCATAGCCTTCAGATTGTCACTACCCTTGTTGGGCGGTTGCAGGGTGCCCAGCTGCGCCCTCAGATTTGAGACTGGAATCTCCCTAGTGAGTCCAGGCTGGTCTGGAGCTCATGGCAATCCTCCTGCCTCAGCCTCCCCAGTGCTGAGACGACAGGCCAGCGCCATCCCATTTCACTACGCATTGAACAGTTGGGAAATCCTGCGGGGCCCTGCGACTCGTTTCAGGAGTTTGAACCGTGTGCGGGCGCGGGTGGGTGGCCCGGTTCGGGCACACGCGGTGGGGGGCAGTTGTCAGCGGGAAGCCACCGCCCGAGGCTGCTTCGAGCTGTGGGACCCGACTCCCTCTTCCTCCTTCCTGGCCCTGCCCGACGCCCGCGGCATATTCCCGGAACCTTCCCACGGACCGAGTCCCCTACCTGGTAGGTACTGGTGAGGCCTAAGCGGTAGAAAACCGGCAAGAAGAGCATGGCAGTGAGCAGCGAGTTGAGCAGCTGCCCCGCGCACATCCACAGGAACTTGATGCCGTAGCGCGCCGCCTCGGCGGGGACCCCGAGCACCTGCACTGCAGACATGAAGCTGGCGGCCAGCGACAGGCCCACCGGCACTGCTGCCAGCTGCCGGCCCCCGGTGAAGAAGTCGTCGGCGCTGCGCTGGCCGCCGCGGGCCAGGCCGACCCACAGCCCGATGCCCGTGGACACTAGCAGCATGGCTGCGAACACGCCGTAGTCCCAGGCGCCGAAGGTGGCTCTCGCCGGGGCCTGCGCACCCTCCATGGGGACAGGTGCCTCGGTTCGGGAAGGATGCGGAGACCTCAGGAACCCTCGGTCAGCGCGTGCTAGCAGTGCCTGTCCCTACTGTGCCGTCGGTCCCCTTGCTCTGCGCGTCGCGGATTTATTGGGCTCCGGGGTCAGCGCGGCTCCGCCCCCAGCCTAGGGGGAGGACGCGACCCGCACCCTTTCCGCCCTGGGCCTGCAGGGGTGCGGGCAGCAGTGGGGGCGGGGGAGCTCCTGACACTTTCCCCTACAGACAGGTCAATGGAGGCTCTGACCCACGCTAGCACAGCCTACTGGGCTTTGGTACCTGGAGCTAAGAGGAGCCCCGCACTGGGAAAGCTCACGACCGAGTCCCAGCGGACATCTGCTTTCTTCGCTTTGTGGGACTGAGATCTGTCCAACCCTGGGAGCTCGGGTTTCCAAGTGAGGTCTTACTTGGAGAATTTATCCCTTCTGGTTTAGGATTCAGTTTCCCCATTTGTGTAAGGACAGTCTAGATCTCTCTCTCTCTCTCTCTCTCTCTCTCTCTCTCTCTCTCTCTCTCTCTGTGTGTGTGTGTGTGTGTGTGTGTGTGTGTGTGTGTGTGTGTTTGAGGCAGGAGGCAGGACCAGGATGACATGAGTGTGCTCCACACCTGGCCTGGTCCTGCTTCCCTTCCTTCCTTCCAGCTTGCTTCTAAGCTGTGACAATTCTGCCTCGGCTTCGCTGGTGTTGGGATAAGTGTGGACCACCCTGCCCGCGCAAAGCTTGTTTGCTTGTTCTTTGGGCGTCCATTCTTTCAATTGCTGGTACTTGGGCCAAGAACTGGATCCCAAGCAGAAGCTGGTCGTGGACCGAGGACTTGACTCCGGCTTGGGACGATGCAGAGGCTCCGGAGCAGTCACCGTGGGACCCTTCCCGGATGATTGGTGGGGAATGTGGGGTTGATGCCCTGTCAAATCCCTCACACTTAGGGCAAACAAGCAGGTGGAAGGCCTGCAGCACACGCCTGCCTTCTGGTTGCCTCAGACTGTAAACCAGCTCAAAGGGCCCTATTCCACATTGATCTCACTGGCACTGTCTCCATCAGATGTGAATCTCCAGGCAAGGCCCCCATGGTAGCAAGGGGCCTTTGGCAGGAAGGAGCTGGAAATGCTGCTGGATCAGCTAAGTGGTCTCCGAAGCCTTGATGTAGAGGGCTCGAGTCCTGGGGTGGGAGGTGGGGGGCAGGGTGACATCTGAAGATTTTGAACCCAGGGCTTTCAGGTTTTTGGAACGCTTCAGAGTGGGTAGAGTTAGGGGAGATGGGCCAGGCATGAGGCATCCTGGAGCCAAGGAACTGGTGAGAGCATTGAGGAACAGGAGTGGGAGGGGAAGAACCTTCCCTAACCAGGACTGCAGAGGAGGGAAAGCTGCACGAGTTGGATTGGCTCGTGGGTACCCACTAGCGGCCATACCAAGCAAGCAGCAAAGTCTTTTTTCTTTTGGTTTTTCGACACAAGAGTTTCTCCGTATTGTTTTGGAAGCTGTCCTGGAACTCGCTCTGTAGATCAGGCGGGGTCTAACTCAAGAGATCTGCCTGCCTCTGCCTCCCGAGTGCTGGGATTAAAGGCCCATTCAGGAGGCAGAAGCAGATGAACATGAAGTTATGCAGGGTCAAGACACCAGCATCTAACCTTGAAGGGGAAGGTGCATAGGCATGCAGGGGCCTGCAGAGGCTGGTGTCACAGACGTGGGCCTAATTAGGTGCTGAAGACTCCAACTCAGGGCCTCTACAAGAGCTGATGAAGCTCGAGGGGACCAACTCTTCCCGTGTCTATGGAGAACCTGCCAAGCATGACAGCTCGCCTAAGCTGGAAAGGGTATCTCATGGGGAGGAGCAGGTGGAGGGTGACAGGACTAAGATCGGTGTCCCCCTCTTGGTTGGTGAGATGGCTCAGTGATCATGGAAAGTGGCTGCTCTTGGGGGAAGAATTCCAGTACCCACCAATCTTATATCCAGGGACGAGATGACCTCTTCTGGCCACCAAAGGACAGGGTGTTAAAATGTACAATGCAAATTTGATACCACACTCTCTATTCTTCAACCAACAGGAATCCTGGTAAGCCATGTCTCTTTTGGGGGGAAGGGGGTATTTCAAGACAGGGTTTCTCTGTGTAGCCCTAGCTGTCCTAGAATTAGCTTTTGTAGACCAGAGTGGTCTCAAACTCAAGAGATCCACCTGCCTCTACCTCCCAAGTGTTGGGATTAAAGGTCTGCCCAAAACAGTCTTGACCTTAGCACACTTTAGTGCTACTCATCTCCAGGAGCCAGTGGAGTGCACCCCCAGTGCCCACGTGGCTAGCACTAGTCTGTGCTCCCTTCAGAATCCAGCTTGGTCACACCTGACCCTTTGGAGCCCCATGACTGCTCTGCGTGCCTAGGGCTACTTACGCCCCCCCCCCCGTGCATCCCCCCAGCACCCTCATTGACATTCGGTAATAGTCTTAACTCTAGTTCTCAGAGGCAGCCTGGAGGCCCAGGTCCCTGGCTGGCCTCATTCCCATCAACAGGATAAGGGGCTCAATCAGGTCCTAGGGGTGGATCACATTCTTGCCTGGAATTCTCAGGCCAGAGTTAGCATCCCGGAGACTGCAGAAATAGCCATCTCAACATCACACACAGGGCCCCAGGCAGGAAGGGCTTAGTGGATGCAACCTGCTGAGGGTAAGTTACTATGGTAGTACATGGTTATACAAAAGGGATAGAATGGCCACTGAGATAAGGTAGCTAGGGCTAGCCTGTGCTTAGGGGCCCCTTGGGACCTCTTCAGGGACACAGAAGCAATGAGCCAGGCAGAACTCGAGTTTTATTCAGTGGGTTTCTGGGTCTAGAAGAAGGTGTTAGGCCTCTTGGTGGTGAAGCGTGGCTTGTGCTGGCGCCGCAGTACACGGTGAGGCAATGGGAACTTGATCTTGGAGTCCTGTGGAAAGGGAGGGAATGAATATCCAGGGCCCAAGCAGGTGGAACCACCCCCTGCAGCCCTGCGTCAGCCTCCACTCAGGGTCACTCACATGGAACTGTTTTACAGCGGGCCGACGGCACTTGCCCGCTGCGATCTCCTCCACCTTCATGATCTGGATGGAGTGTGCACGGGCACGATGTCTGGCACCCATGTCTCGGTCTGTGGAGAGAAAAGGAAGTTAGCCCCAGCCACCCCCTCAGTTGCCTGTCCCTGGGATTGTGGAGCCTCCTGATTCACTCTGGGGGGCACCACACAGCCCCCCAAAGGCGACGAAGCCCCTTTGCTGTATGCACCACTGTTTAAACTGCTGCTACAGACAGCAGTAGTTCTTGGGCTGGGTGCAGGAGGCCTGGGTTGGGGACTCACAGCACTGTGTGACAGCACCAGCTGTGGTCAGGTCCCGGTACTCTCGGTACATGTTATGTGTGCCGCTGCGGGAGTCATAGCGCAGCCAGATGCCGAAGTTCTTCACACGCAGTGGTGATTTCTCAAACACCTGTGGGTGGGGAGGACAATGAGTGAGGTGTGCTACCCTGGGTGTAGGGTTGTCCAGGGACTCTCATCCCATGGGGCCTCGGGTCACACCTGTCCACAATACACTATCTCTCCAGATGATTTCTTCATCTTCTTCAGCTGTGACACGAAATACCAGAAGCGGGACTTGGCCACCACATGGTTTGGTGCAAAGATGCGCATTCGGTATAGTGGTGGCGTGTGGCACTTCGGGGTGGGCAAGCAGCGTCCCACCACCTTGTATTCCCGAAGCTGAAAGAGAGGGTAGTGGAGGATGATGGACCCTGCTCCATCACCCCACGGGCCTTTCCTAAATACACCAAGTAACCCAGTGGCAGGCCACTCTGGCCACTGTTCTCCCTCAACACTCCAAACTGGCTTTTCACCAGCTGCCAGGAGGGCAGCATCTGTCTGTCCCCCACTCCAGGTCAGTCATGTGCTTCTCACAAGCAAGCACAGGAGGGTCGAGTTAATAATGTGAGACACACTTTAGAAGTCTAATTACTCTTTGTCCTTCAGAAGCATCAGGCAGGACATTCTGGGCCTCCAATTTGGAAATAGCTAAGGATGACTCAACTCCCGACCTGTGTGCCTCTATCTCCCAAGTACTGGGATAACAAGTGTGCTGCACCAGGCTGATGATTTCAGAGCTGTAAGGGGCTGCAATGTGCACTTGTCAAATGTCTAACAAATGGCAATGCTCCACCTACATGCGCGTCTAGCACTCCAGATTAGCTTAGAAATTGAGTGTGTCCAGACTTGCCCTCCCAAACTCTTGAGCACTAGACCCATATCTCTCGTTTGTTTTTTTTTTCTGGGGGGGGGTAGTGCACGGAGTCTTTCTATACTGGAAGTCGCGATAATCCTGCCTCACTCAACTTTCCGGGTTCTGCTATCACAAGAGTGCGGCAGTGTGCCAGGAAATTTCCCAGACAGGAGGATCTTGTTGGAGGTCGGGGAAATGGCTTGCCAGGCGGTGCACGCTCCCATATAGGCCCAGCTCCACCCGCTCCCTCGGCTGATGCTTAGCACGCGGCGGCCGCCATGTTGCCGCGAGGAGCTTGCGACTCGTTGAGCTGCCCGTGACTGGAGAGCGGGTCCCGGCGGCCGTGCACGGCGCCATCCCGATACAGTAACTCCGCGCCGTCCCGCCGCCCGCGCCGCGCCCCCAGCCGTACTACGGGCTCCTTACCGTGCCTGAGGCCTTCATGGCGGTGCGTCCTCCTTGGCCGCCAGTCACAAAAGGAAGTGTTGATTTCCGCGCAGGCTCTCACCATGGAGTCTCTAACGGAAGTCCCGCCCTTCCTGATGCCGTGCGTCCATTGGATACATATGTTAGCACTCTAAAATCTTAGGTTCTTTATTGACTACAGATCAGTTACGTAAAAGCCCCGCCTCTCTCCCGCAGAGACTACAATTCCCAGGAGGCACAGCGACGAGCTCTTGCACATTTCTCCGGAGCTACGACAGAGCCTCTGCACGCGGGGGATGCTGGGAATGGTAGGCGTAATGGACTCGATTTCGAATCCAGCAGTCTTTTTTCCCCTTTCTTTCCTTCCTCTCCCTCCTTCCTTTTTCTCCTTCCTTCCTTCCTTCCTTCCTCCCTCCCTTCCTCCCTCCCTCCCTTCGCTTCCTTCCTTCCTTCACCCTTCACTTCCTTCTTTCCTTTGCTTCCTTTTTTTCCTGGCCTGCACTACCACCGCCCCACTCCTATCCATCCTTTTAAAACATTGTTTTAATTCTTTTAGGTGTGTGAGTTTATTACCTGCAGGTGTGTCTGCATCACCGGCGTGTCTGGTGCCTGCGGAGGCCAGAAAACAGTGTCGGGTCCTCTGGTACAGGAGTTAAATGGTTGTGAGCCTTCCTGTGGGTGCTGGGAACCGAACCCTGCCCGGGCAGTGCTCTTAGTTGCTGAGATATCTCTCTAGCCCCATCGATCTTTTTATATGTAATCAATTTATTTTATTGTGTGTTGAGACAGGATTTGTGTACCCAAGGCCGGCCTGTGACTCACTCTAATTCTCCTGCCTCAGGTCCTGATTCTTGGGATGCAAGAGTGTGCCACCCGCGGGCCTTTTTCTTTTCTTTCTTTCTTTCTTTTTTTTTTTTTTAATTTTAAATTTTTTTTTTTTTTGTTTTTGTTTTTGTTTTTGGAGACAGGGTTTCTCTGTATTACTTTGGAAGCTGTCCTAGAACTAGCCTCGAACTCACAGAGAGGCGCATGCCAGCAACGCCCAGCGAATTTTAATCTCTTAACTTTGTTCTTTTCCAGGTCTCTGTCCCTTAACTAGGCAGACAGGAGACAATATCCGCAGTGTGTCTCCGCTAGCGGCCACTAGGTGGCGCGCGCCTCCCTTTGGCTCAAGTGCAAGGCAGAGCTACCAACCTGGGCTGCTTGCTGGTCGGGCTACCCTGTCCCATTTATCATTTATCTGTGGGGCCTCAGTTTTCCTAGCTCTCAGAGGAAACCACTAACACTCCTGGCCCCTAGGATAGTTGTAAGATTTAGAAATTGGGCGTGGTGGCACATGCCTGTGATCTTACTGAGGCAGGAGAATGCTGGCCACATAACAAAATTTCATGTTACTGCAACACTCCCCCCTAACTAAATAGCATATGAGTGTGACGGTGTGCCATGGGCAGGCTAGGACACAGTGCCTCCCGCTGCTGGAACGCACTGTTCTTTGCCTCTGTTCTGCAGGTACTCTGTAAGATGCAGAACAGAACCTGGGGTGCAACCTATACAGAAAGGACACAGGGTAGGAAATGAGATGCAGGAAATGAGTGAAGAAGTCAGTACCACAGGCCCAGCCTTAGCCTTGAGCCTGGCCTTGTGAATTCCTATGCCATGTGCAGATTCCCCCTTTAGCCTCTTCTGAATAACAATAGGCTGCAGCCTTAACACACCCTCTCACTCCATCAGGCTCTAGTCCTGGGGGCTATGAAGAATCCCACCTGTTGGTGGACTTCAGGGTTCTGGATTGCTGGCCTTCTACTGTACCTCTGTCCTTCCACAGTGCACCCGGTTAATCTGGGGCTTCAGACCACACCACTTTGATCTGTCAGTCACCAGGCAGAAGTGTCCCCTCCTTGCTCACTCCAGTCCCTGTACCCCCAAAATGCCCTCAGCCTTACTGTCTGTTCCCCAGGATTCCCTTGCCTTGGGTTGGGGATTAAGGCCAAGGCTATGTGAAGGGGCCTCAGAGTCAGTTTTTTACAGGACACACCCAGAGACCACATTCTCAGCACTAAGATGTGTTACCCAGAAGGACAGATGGGGCTTGGGGTGCTTCTGGGTGGGGCAAAGGCAGCAGCACATGTCTGCAGATGGAGTTCTGAAGGAGAAAACAGGGAAGTCTGTACTAGGGTGAGTTGGTAAATCCCAACTGGACAGGTTAGCCAAATAATGAGTTTTGATTGTTAGAACTCAGAGTTTTTTGATAGTTGGACCTTGGAGTTTTAGTCAGGTATAAGGAAGTGACCAAATAAGGGGATGGGCCTTGGGGTCCAGCTTCAGATATACTCCTTGGCAAGGCTGAGGGGATGAGGGAGAAAGGCAAGCCCTGACATGGTTAGAGCCATTCACTGTATGCAAAGACTGGGGCGTTGTGCGTTGTCCTCCGTTCTCATCTCTCTCCTGCCTCAGCCTCCAAGTGCTGGGGTGCACGCGCACGGCACACACACACACACACACACACACACACACACACACACGCACGTGCGCACACACACACCACCACCACCACCCCATTTATCTGAAAGGTACTTTTATTGATAGTTTTTAAATATAAGGACAGAAAAATTTCTAAGAAATTTTTGGCCCACCTTATGCTTCTGTGACAACATGCTTCCCCCCCCCCCAGGCTGCACTTGACTTCACCATGTAGCTACCAATATTCCTGAACTCCTGAGTCACCTGCTTCAACCTCCTCAGTGCTGAGATGACAGGCATGTGCCACTATGCCCCATCACAAATGACACTTGGTTACTAAATTTTATTATTTTGGGACAAGGTCTCACTTGCTAGACCAGACTGGCCTCAAACTCGGGGAGCTACCTGCCTCTGCCTTTCCAGTACTCTTATTAAAAGGTATGTGTTCCACATGCAGCTTACTTAGGGACCTTTAAACTTATTTATGAGTATGCATGCATATATGTGCACCAGCTGTGTGCTTGGTGCCCAGGAGGCTGGGAGAGCCATTTTGCCAACTCATCACTTCTCTTAGACTAAGTTTATCTCCTAGACTAAGTTTGTCTCCTTCCAGATGTCAGTGAATGCTGCTCCTGGTAATATTCCATTTGTTTTGTTTCCATGAAGTCTGGCTTCACCAACAGGGTTCACCAACATTTATCACTGATCAGTTAGACTCTAATGAATTCTGAGCCCTGGAGCCTCATCAGATTCTCCCAGTGGCTTAGCTAACTCCCAGCTGTGATCTGCAGGCCCCTAGGCTCCTCTGCAGCCCCTATGCACCACATTCTGTCTGATTTCAGCCTCCCCCACCCCCAGTGGTTTTCTCCCATGGCTTTAACTTCTCTATAACTTCTCTGGGTCTCCATATTGCTCTGTGAAGCCCACAGAGTTAATGGGCAAGGGGATAAAGGGTATGGTGTGACTCACATGTCACCCCAACATGAGGAAGGCTGAGGGTAGAGATAAGGAGTTCAAGGTCAGTCTGAGCTACAAGAAAAGGGCTTCAAAAAATAAAAATAAAAAACCAGCAAAGGTGCCAGGAAGATGGCTCAGTTGGCAAAGGAAAGGCACTTGCCACAAAGTCTGGGGACCTGAAGTGGACCACTGGGTCCAATAATCATAGAACTTACTTTGAAAAGTTTGTTGTCACAAACATACTGTCACATGCACTTTTGTGCTTATCCATACCCACACAGTCTACCTACTCTGTGGACACCCACACTTGACATCCCAGCCACTCCAGAGACTGAGATGGGAGGGTTACAAGTCAGACTCCGAGATGTCACAAAGTTAACTCCTACAAAAGAATTCCTGGATAGGGGCTGGAGAGCTGACTCAACGGTTAGGGGCACAGGCCACTCTTCCAGAGGACCCAGGTTTAATTCCCAGCACTGATGTGGCCACTTACAACTGTCTGTAACTACAGTTCCAGGGGATCTACTTGGGTACCAGGCACACATTTGGTGCATAGACATACTTGTAGGCAGAACAACGTTACACATAAATTAAAATTCAGAAAGGTGCATGTGACTGGGCTGGCAAGATGACTCTGTGGATATAAGTGTTTGCTGCCAAGCCTGACAACCTGTGTTTGATCCCCAGGTATCACTTTTGAAAGAAGGGAACTGACTCCTGAAAGTTCCCAACCTCTAACTTCCCAGTTGTGGCACATGTGGCATGTGCCGCTGCTCTCCCACCCCCATCTCCACCCCCCCCCCCACTCAGTCCTGGCCTGGTGGTGATAGAGCACACCTTTAGTCCCAGCACCTGGGAGCAGAGGCGAACCCTGTCTTGTACACACCCCAAGCCAACCAACCAACCAACCAAACAAACAAACCAAAAACTCATCCCTGTTGAAGATGACTTCCTCATAGGTGAGTCACTGTACACACTGGTAAGATTCAGATTCTCTCTGGTCCCTGAGTAATGTATGGGTATGTAATTCGATCACTTAACACTAGCTGGATCTAAAAGCACACCCAGGAGGAACAATCAATCAACCATTATAGTCAAGAGGGAAACAGAAATAAAGGGGATGGTGGGAAGACACTCTGACCAGGCTATGGGAAAGCTGGAGCACCAGGAAGGCTGGGAGGGCAACCTGAGGGCACAGGTTGGACTGGCCTGTTAGGAAGAGGGAGGCACTCTGTAAGTGCCCACATTTACTTATGGGACTGCCATGAGGAATTAAATCAAGCAGGTTGGAGGGGTGGAGAGGCCACACACAGCAAGATGGAGCCTATGACAAGCATATTGAGAACAATTAGACTTTTTGTTTTTTCTTGCCTCCTCCCCCCACAAGCTGTAGATCAAATCCAGGGCCTTGTGCTTTCTAGGCAAGCACTCTCCCACTGAGCTAAATCCCCAACCCCACAATCAGACCTTTTATACTTTCATCAGAAACAGAATATAGGGGCAATTGCCAGAATCAATACAGTTGTGGTTGCCAGGGTACAGTGATGTTTGCAAGTTGTGCAGGATACAGAAGATGAATGTCTAAGACCAATTGTCCTGTCCAGTTTACATGCTCCCTTGACTTCTAAGGGAACATACAGAGAAACAAAAAAACAGCCTGAACGCTTCACTGCCTGAGGGAGTGCATCCCTCTCTCAGAAACTGAGATGAGCAGGGTGCCTAACCTGGAAAACAGAAGGAGCTGCTAGTGAAGGCAGCTAGGCCAGGCAAACATCACTAGCTCCTGCAGCTCCCAATTGGTGCAGACTGAGGGGTCATGGCCTTGGGCTCAGCCAACAATTCCTCAAGCGGCTGGCAGGGGGCGGCATGAAGCTGGTGGTGATGGGACTGGAAAAGCCCTGCATGGGATGCAGGGACTCCAGGGCTGTTGCCGGGATGAAGAAAACTGTGGTCACTGTCAGAGTGATACCAATTGCTCGCAAAGCTCAACAGAGTTGAACTTGCTATATCTGCCAGCCCATCTTTGGGAGATGGAGGAGGGAACATTTTAAGTTCCAAGGGACCCTGGTCTATTTTTTCCTAAAACCCTCTAGGGAGGTGCTGGGGGTGTGACTCAGGGTAGAGTGACAGCCTCGGATCCCACAGGGAGGTGCTGAGGACCTAGCTCAGGGGTAGAGTGACAGCCTAGGTTCCCTCAGGGAGGGCTGGGGGTGCGGATCAGGGATGGAGTGACAGCCTGGGATCACACAGGGAGGGGCTAAGGGCATGGCTCAGGTGAGCAGCTGACAGGTAGATATGGTTCATGTGGAAGCTGAGAGCTGTCTGTCTCCAGCAGTGAAGAGGGATGTCTGACTGAACTTGGGAATATTGCAGACAGAATGTCTGCCGGAGGCCTCACAGAGTTTCCTCCATCTCCCTTCCCTCCCTCCCCTCCCTCCGCCCCGATACAAAACCCATTAGCTGGCAGGATCTAGATGTGAACAGAGGTTGAGGGACATGACTTGAGTCTCAAGTCTAGTATTTTGGCTTTGCACTCCCCATGCCTAGACCCTGAACTTCAGGGACAGAAAAACTCAAGGACACAAGACTGATTTTGAGAGTTTTGCAGAACATTTGAGCCATTGGTCTGCAAAGCTTAATAGGGAACCTTTCCCCAGCTGATTCGTGGTGGAGATGTATTGAACTGCTCCAGGTCCTCAGAGACCAGACTGTAATATCAGCACTAACTACAGGAGTGATACCTCAGGCATGCCTTACCCAAAGCCAGGAGGCTGAGGCAGGAGATTTGACAGTTTGAGGTCGCTGTGGAATACAGAGAAAGATGGGAAAAAAAGAAAACAGAAGAGCCTTAGGCATCTGGAAGAGTGCAAATTCAGCTCCTGGGTTCAAATCCCGAAGGACTGGTGACAGAGGAAGTGTGAACAAACAAAACAGGTTGTTGGCTTTGTTCTGCACCTTCACTCAGGGCCCCCTGCAAGGGGCGGAGACTGCAGCATGAGGCTGCTGGTTCTCCAGCTCCCTGGTGTTTTGGTGGGGTCTCCCTGTACCTTTAAGTGTCTTGGATTTTTCTATGTAGTCCAGGCTGACCACAAAATTTGCCTACCTCTGTCCCCCATTTGCTGGTATTAAAGGCGAGCCAACACGTCTGTCTCTTAGGTTTTTAAAAAAGATTTCTTAGCATGTGCACACACACACACACCCATGAAGGCCGGAAAGGGGCATTAGATCCCTTGGAGCAGGAGTTCTAGGCAGTTGGGAGCTGTGATGTGGGTGCTGGGAATAACGTGAATCTCCTGCAAGAGAAACCAAGAGTTCTTAGTTGCTGAGCCATCTCTTGTATGGGTTTTGGTTTTTTTGTTTTTTTTCCTTGTATGGGTTTTAAAGGATTACCACAGACTGGCAAGGGACTCACTCCATATTCCAGATTGGCTTTGAACTTCTTATGTTGCCCTATGGGCTTGCTCTATAGCCTGACATGGTCTCAAACTCTTCACAATCCTTCTACCTCAGCCTTCTGTGGTGAGTCTGGGGTTATGGGAATGCACTACCAAGTCCAATTCTCTTTCTGTTATAGCAGAGGAAATTACAGGTCCCAGCCTTTCCAGGCTGACAAGTCACAGGAGAAGTCAGGATTTGGGAAGGATATAGAGCCAAAAAGTCAAGGAAGTTGGTACCCAGGAACCCTGGGCCATGGCACGAGGCCATGGCTGTTACTACACATTGACCAAGGAGGAAGTTGGCTTAGACAAGGCTCCGAGAGACCAGCAGTGGCCTGCCTCCGCCTCCTAGTCCTTTCCACATCAGTCAGTCCTGATTTGCATTTTGCTTATTTTTGTTTGTTTTGAAATATTCTCTGCAGCCCTGGCTCTGTAGACCAGGCTGTCCTTGGACTCACTGAGTTCCATCCGCCTGCCTCTGCCTCCTGAGTGCCTTTTTTGATTGTTTCTTTTTGATGCAGGGACTGATGTTTGCTAGGTAGATGAGGCTGACTGTGAACATCTGGTCCCCCCCCCTACTTCAGTCTCCTTGGGAAAGCAGAAGTACCTGGCTGGTCTTAGTTGTATACTCCAGAGACTCACTCAGGGCAGCCATTCTTGGTCTGAACAGCAGTTTAGATATTTAATATGGGGAGGCCATAAAAGATGTAAGATTGGGGTGAATGGGAGTCACACAAGCAGTATCCATCAGACTATAATCCAAGAGAAACCGAAGCTTTTTGTGGCATTGATGACTGGCTGTCCCAGCATGTGGGAAGAATGGAAGCAGGAGGACCATTAGTTTAATGAAGGTTGAGAGGCAAACTTACTTGGAGTCAGACGGGAGCTAACACTTAACGGGCCTGCTGATCTGACCCCTCCAAAATGTCCTTTTCCCCTAAAATGACAGGAACAGTGCCCACCTGACCTAAATACATCCCATACTATAACATGTCTGTCTCACTTGGTGCTGGCCTACCACACACACACAGCAAACTCCTACACATCCCTCAAAGCCCTACCTGTCGGCATTCTAATTTAGTGAGCTCTTAGTAAATGTCAGACTCTAGTTCTGTGTGGAACCACTGTTACAGGATGACTTTACGAGACCAGAACTCCTAAAAGTGTCCCTGAATGGATGAATGAGTGAAGGAATGAACGAATGAATGGAATTTTGGCAGAGACATCAAACCATTAGTACAGGGCCCTCTCATCTCTCCATGGTCTCCTAAGGTCTAGAGGGCGTTGATAGGGTGGATCGGAGGGGGCGCTTCCGGCCGGGGTCTCTGGTGCTTCCGGTACGCTCCATGAAGAGGCGTGGCCAGTGGGGGCGGGGCGCTCAAAGCGTCGGGGCGGCGCGAAGATGGCGGCGGTGATGGCAGCGCCCGAGGCTCAGGCGGCACCGAGCTCGCTGCTGCTGCTGGTGGTGGGCGGCGAGTGCGGCTGCCCGGGGCTGCTGGCCTACGTCCTGGAGGAGCTGGAACGAGGTCGGGCTCGCGGGTGTCGGAGAGCCAGGCGGCGGGGCGTCCGGGTGGGGCCGGGGGTTCCGGCACGCGGCGGGCCGGGGTCCGGGTGGGGCGCAGGGTCCCGGGACCCAACGTTCCGGGCGTGGCCTGGGGTCCGGGCGGGCGTGGGGGTCCGCGCGTGCCTGACGGCCGCCTGAACACATCCCGGCGGTGCGGGTCACTGGGTCCGGGTGGGGCGCGGCGGCCTGAGCTCCGCGTGGGACATGGCGGATGGGGCGCCGGATTCCGGGGGTGGCCTGGGGCTCGGGTGGGCGCCGGCCCCGGGGTTCCGGTGCAGTGCGGCCTTCCTCTTCTGGCCCCTCCCCTGGCCGGCCTTGCTCATTCCCTTGGCGCCGCGGGGCCTCCTTTCCATGCTGCTAATTGGCGCGTGGGTGACGCGCCCGCCCTGGAGGAGCTTGGCACCGGGGAGCTGACTCAGGCGCACCTGTCACACTGGGGCACCCAGCGGGTTTGCATCGCCTGCAACCGCCGCAAGTGCGATGCAGTCTGTAATCTCAGCTTCTGAGAGGCTGAGACAGGTGGCCTTGGGTGTTTACTATTAGCCTCACCAGGTGATGACCTGAAGATTCAATGAGGGGCTCTGTCCCAGGCATAAGATGTAGAAGGTGAGGATCTTTCTCTCTCTCTCTCTCTCTCTCTCTCTCTCTCTCTCTCTCTCTCTCTGTCTTCTCTCTGTCTTCTCTCTCTCTCCTCTCTCTCTCTCTCTTACACACACACACACACACACACACACACACACACACACACACAAAATCTCTCTAAGTTCAGGGTCCTAGCAGGAAATCAGGGGACCTACAGCAGATAGCCAGCCAGGCTTCAAGTCAGTGAAAGGCTGAGGCCTGCCTGAGTCCCTTGGTTCTGCCTGCCGAGGAACCAAGCTGTGGGGGCCAGGGCAGGTGGACAGGAGGGTGCTGGAGCTGAGCTCTGTCTCCTGCTGCCTGTAGGTGTTCGCTCGTGGGAGGATGTGGACCCCACCATCTGCAGCCTGGATGAGCAGCTCAAGGCCTTTGTGTCCCGGCACTCTGCTACCTTCTCCAGCATTGTGAAAGGTGACCTATCTCAGGATTCCTTCTGCCCATTTAGTGGATGCCAAGCTGCTGAGTGACAGCTGTTTGCTGAGCATGGGTTGGGCATCACCAAGGATGCCCCTAACTTGGAAATGCTGCCTACTTTGGGGCAGTAGGAGTAGGGCCTATGCACAAAAGGATACAGAGACTCTAGGGAGGAGCCCTTGGGGCTGAGAATCTATTGGGTGCTCAGTAGGGAAGCAGAGATACAGGATGCAGGGCAAGCTCCCAGGGTCGCAGGGGATCTCAGGGTGGCCAGAGCAGCCACTGGCTGCTTTGTAGGCTTGGTTATAGCTCATCTCCTGGCCAGTGGGTTGAGTCACCACTGCAGCTGCTGGAGAGGAAGGAAGTGTTCATCTAATTGTCCCTTTGAGTCACAGTGGCTTCCTGATCCCTGGTGGGTGCAGAAAGCTGGAAATGCCATATGCTGTGTGACCTCCTGTGTGCCACAGCCCCCTTTAAAGGCTCTCTGGGCAGTGACACAACTCCAGCTGAGTGTGCTGGAGCTCAAGAGCAGCCTCGAAGGGTGGCCCTGATGTTGCTCAGGGTGGCCATCCTGGCACCAGTGTAGCTTGTTTTGGTTGTCTCCACTTGAGGCCCCAGGCATCCTTGGTTTTCCATTTGCCCTCATCTTTGCTCACAGCTTTGAGCACCCTTGTGTGGGCCCTGAGCTTGCGTGCCCGAGGGTCCCTTGGTGGTGGCAGGATTTGGCATCCGGCCAGCTGATTCGGAGTCTCCTGGACCTGTCATCCCACAGGTCAGCGGAGCCTACACCATCGTGGAGAGACACTGGAGACACTGGTCCTGCTGAACCCTTCAGACAAATCCCTGTGCGATGAGGTGACCTGGGGTGTGCCTTGTCCCATCCTCACACCTGCCCCAGAACATGTACTTGACCCTTCCTGCCTCAGCTTCCTCTCTCGTGCGGGTGGAACAGGAAGGCTGGATCCTTGGAGGAGGGTCTGTACTGTGTCTAACTGGAGGCAGTAGGAGCCACAGGGCTCGCCCACCAGTCTGACCTAGGAGCGGTCCCAGGTGCCTAGGAGCCTTGGCTTTGGCTAATCAGCACCAGTTTTATGTCAGTAGAGGTCAAGACTGTTCTGGGATTCAACCCTGCTGGCCACAAGTTCTGGGAATGCTGCTAGTGGCCTCTTTTCTCATCAGGGAACCTTGCCCTTAAAAAAAAAAAAAAAAAAGCTAAATGGGTCTGCCTGAAGCAGTCTCCTGCAGGAGGTGCCAGAGCACTGCTAGGCAGGTGACAACAGCTGGCACAGGGAGGAGACTGGGGGGGGGCAGTTGTGCCCACAGCAGGCCAGGCTCTGCCTCCCCTACAGCTTCTCAGTTGCTTCCACAGCTGTCACAGTCAGTCAGAGCTGTGGCAGCCTGGGCACTGCTTACAAGGGACCCTCACCCACAGCTCCGGAACCTCCTGATGGACCCTGCCCCTCACAAACTGCTGGTGCTGGCAGGACCCTGCCTGGAAGAGACAGGGGAGCTGCTGCTGCAAACCGGGGGGTTCTCAGCCCAGCACTTCCTGCAGGTGCTGGGGGACAAAGAGGTGAGCTGTTTGTTTGCTGTCCCCTCTGCACTGCTCATGGGTGGGAAAGGGGCCCCAAACTGCCCATTCACAGATAGGTACAGTGAGGGGGAGGCACAAAGGATGGGACCGTGGGTCAGGAAGGCGAGGCCAGGTGGGCCTGGGGTGCCTAGCAGCAAGTTGGGTATTAGGGGCAGTGGTGCCCAAGTCCATGGGTCCTGGTGGCCCTATGCTGGTCCTACAGGTCCAGGATGCACTGGCCTCGGCACCCACTGCCCCACCAGCCCTCACCGTGTCCTGTCCAACCTTCGGGGACTGGATGCTGCTGGGCCCCACGTCTGGGCTGCGGCTGCGACTGAATCCACCTGCGCGTCTGCCGGCCTCCGAGGGCCTGCGTGCCTTTCTGGAGTATGTGGCCGAGTCGCTGGAGCCTCCGTCGCCCTTCGAGCTACTGGAGCCACCAGCCGCAGGTGGTTTCTTACGCCTGGCGCGGCCCTGCTGCTATGTGTTCCCAGGTGGCCTGGGCGATGCTGCCTTCTTTGCAGTCAATGGCTTCACTGTGCTGGTGAACGGTGGTTCCAACCCCAAGTCAAGCTTCTGGAAGCTGGTGCGCCACCTGGACCGTGTAGACGCAGTGCTAGTCACCCACGCAGGAGCAGACAGCCTGCCTGGCCTCAATAGCCTGCTGCGCCGCAAGCTGGCAGAGCGTGAGGCGGCTGCAGGGCCACAAGGACAACACGAGGAGAGGCTGCGTCGCCTTCTTTCCCCCGCCCTGGGTGTCGTGTTCCTGAATGCACGAGAGGCAGTGTCTCGGCTGCGCGGGGGTGAAGATGAGGCGGTGTGTGCACGGGGCCTGCTGCGGAGCCTGGGCATTGTACCCCTACCCCTGCAGCGTGGCCCGCAGCCCACACGCCCCACTGTCCTCTTTGAGAAGCTGGGTGTTGGCCGCCTTGAGCTCTTTGTGGTGCACCCGCCACCCGGGGACCCCGCAGCACCTGCCTGCGCGCTACTGGTATGGCACCCTGCATCACCCAGCGAAAAGGTGGTTCGTGTGCTGTTTCCTGGACGCACGCCGCCCACACGCCTGCTGGACGGGCTGCAGCGCCTGCAGCATCTGCCGTGTCTACGCCGGCCAGTGGTTACCGCGGGTGACTTGGATGCCCCTGTGAGGGCTGACAGCCAGGACAGTTTGGCCTCAAGGGACAGCTTACGCAAAGAGCCTGTCCGGAGCACCACCAGCAGCTCCGCCAGCAGGAGCACAGTGCGAAGAGAGCCAGTTCCGCCCATGCGTGACCAGAAGAAGGATACAAAACCCGGGTCTACACGGCCTATAGTCCGTGACATGCGTCGTTCCGGGCCAGGTGTCCCCAACACGAAGCCTCGCACATCACAGAATGGTCCTCGAGCCCCGGTTCCCTCAGGGCCACCGATGGCTCATGTGCCCGAGTGCCCCGGAGTAGCAGGGAGCAGCCTGGAGCCCGAGCGACCACCCGCTCAGTCCCCGATCCTGTCTCCAGCTGCTCGGTCCCCACCACCTACCACACCTGGCAATAGCCCTGAGCGTCTGTCGCTCAGCCTTCTACGCCCTGAACCTGCCTTGGATGCATCACCCTCAGCCACTACACCTACAGCCACAACACCCACTCTGACCACGCCCTCGTTGCCTGCGGAGCTGGGCTCACCGCACTCCACTGAGGTAGATGAGTCACTGTCTGTGTCCTTCGAGCAGGTTCTGCCAGCAGGTGACTCGGGACTTAGTCTTCCCCTGCGCCTCACTCGGCGCTCTACATCCCCACACGATGTGGACCTGTGTCTCGTGTCACCTTGTGAGTTTGCGCACCGCAAGCCACTCCCTCCCGCGTCTCCGGGCAGCTCGGACAGCAGCGCCCGTTCGCAGGAGCGGCCACCCGAAACGCCGCCCACATCAGTGAGTGAGTCACTACCCACCTTGTCTGACTCTGACCCTGTGCCGATCGCAGACTCCGACGACGAAGCGGGCAGTGAGAGTGCAGTCAGGGACCCGCTGCCCACACCCCGTATACCACCACCTCTGCCCGATGCCCCTGGCATCTGCATGGTGGACCCCGAGGCCCTGCCACCCCGTGCCAGGCAGCCACCCAACCCCGCGAATCCTGGTCGCAGTCGCAAGGTCCCTGCAAGGCTGAGCTCCGCCTCTGCTGCCCCCAGAGCTGCAGCTGCCAAGGCCAAGGGCCCTGCAGGGGACCGGGCCAGGCCTCTAAGCACCCGTAGTGAGCCTGCAGAGAAGCCAGGCCGTGTGCCCCTCACCAAGAAGCCCTCAGTCCCCAAGACTACCCCCAAAGTGGTCCCTGCCACGAGGACCTCCTCTGGTGAGTCCATCCCACCTTTGTACTGTCGTTCCAGCCACTCTTCTCTTTCTGGGCCTCACTTCTGTTGAGGGACTGGCCCGTGGCCCCAGCGCCAGCTGAGGGTGATGGATTGTAGAACCTCCAGAGAGGACTTCTGGTCTAGGTATGGGTGTGTTGCTTTCTAGGAATTTCAGTCAGGTCCTAGGCTGGCACGGGCTTTCCTCCTGTTCACATGTGTTTTGAGATGGCCTTATTTTGGGATTCTGCCTGCAGAGGCAAAGAGGCTGGGATGTCTGTCATGTTTAGCTTTTTTGGTGTTTTGAGAGTGTTTTGTCAGGTGTTGTAGCACAGCCTTTAATCTCAGCACTGGGGAAAGCAGAGACAGGCAGATCTCTATGAGTTTGATGCCAGCCTGGGCTATGTATCAAGAAAGACCCTAACTCAGAGACAGGGTTTTGGACTATAGCCCAGACTGGCTCAGTTTGTGAATGTTGATTTGATAGGTGAGCTTCTAGGCCACAAGGCCTTCCCTGAAAGTAGGAAGGGGCACTCTGCGCACTTCCAGGCCATCCTCAGCAGGGCTCTGGCCTTAGGTTTTGCAGCAGCTGATGGCTGCTTTAGTCCAGTTTCTAGATTAAGTGACCAGGGGGACTTGATAGCTCTGTCTCCCAGGCTGGCACCTAGTGACATGCTTCCCATCAGGCCCACACGCCTAAGAGACTGCACAGCAAACTGTAGCACCTGCTCTGCTCATGCCAGAGCCAGGACAGGATGGCATTTGTAGGATTTCATGCCTCAACAACTGCCCAGTGAGGTCTGGGCCCAGAAGGGCCCTGCAGACCTCAGTTCCATGCTGGATCCCCAGTGTCCCCAACAGGTCAGTCTGCCCTAAGTCACAGCTCCCACTGTCTGTGCCAAGGCCAAGCAGGGCTGGAGTTGCCCTGCGCTTGCCATTACCTTATTCCCCATGGCACTGAGCCTCTGTGTGTGCGTGCTTCTTGTCCTGGGGCCCCCTCAGGCCTGATTTCCCCTGCTGCCCTGGCTCCCTGTCACCCGGGAGTGGGGACAGAGCTTTGAGCCTCAAGCACTTGCCACATGACCAGTTTGGGGAGCCCTCTTAGTTCTGCACACCCAGTTTGTGGGCTTAGCTTGCCCATCTCTGTGGCCCAGGAACTGTGCCTGGCATTGGCCCCTTAGGTGAATATGGGGTACAGGGATCTGGGCTGTCTGTCTTTGGTGGGAGGTAATAACCGTCTGTCACATAGATGCCCTGATACTACCACCGACCTGTATGTTACCCACAGGGTCCAGTACCCGCCCTGTGCCACCTGCCATTGGCTCCCCTGTCTACCTGGACATGGCCTACCTTCCTGGGGGTGGTGCAGGCCACCTGGACCAGGACTTCTTCCTACGAGTTCGTGCGCTCTGCTATGTCATCAGTGGACAGGGCCAACGCCAGGAAGAGGGCCTGCGGGCCGTGTTGGATGCACTGCTGGCTGGCAAGCAGCAGTGGGACCTTGACCTGCAGGTGCGTGAACCCCTGCAGGACCCTAGGACTCCTGCTTTTGAGAGGAGCTTCCTGCTCAGCCTCAGGACCCCAGCCCATGGGGCTGAGATTCTGTGTCCACTGCAGCTGAGACGTGCTACCAAAGGGTGCAGGCTGAAGGATTCTGAGCAGATAATCAGGCAGCCCTGTGTGCAGTGTCAGGTCTGAGGGGCATGTGGAGCTATTAGCCTGGCAATAGCACTGCCCTGTCACAGTGGTGTGTGGGAGACTCTCAATGGTGGGTGGGAAGTGGCCGGCCAGCCTGGGCTGTGTGGTAATACTTGGTTACAAAGAAGGTCCTTATGTGCTGCAGTCAGGGGGTTGGGGGATGGTATCAGAGGGGAGTGTCACCTGTCTGCCTGTTCCACCCCCCAGGTCACACTGATCCCCACCTTTGACTCGGCGGTGATGCACAGGTGGTATGAGGAGACGCATGAGCAGCATCAGGCGCTGGGCATCAGGGTGCTGGGCAGTGGCAGCATGGTGTCCATGCAGGACGAGGCCTTCCCTGCCTGCAAAGTGGAGTTCTAGCTACATGCCACAGCACACCCTTAGGATAGCAGTTTCTCACTGTGACACCTCAGCCTCCATCTGCAGCACCACAGATGGAGGGAGCAGTGCTGCCATCACTTGTTTGTGCTGGTCACAAGGCAGGCACACCCTACGTCCTACCACTCAGGTTGCAGAGGCAGGAGGATCAAAGTGGGTTCCAGGCCAGCCAGAGCTGAGCAGTGAATCCTTGTTTCAAAAACCACAACAAATAAAGCAGTTGGGTCAGATTTTGGCCTTGATGTCTTAGTTAGGTCTCTAGTGCTACGTCAATACCTTGGCCATAAACAATTTGAGAAGGGGTCTGTTCAAGGCAAGAGGAAGCCTGGAGGCGAGCTGTTCACTGACTTGCTCCCCATGGCTTGCTCATTGCTCTTACACACCCAGCCCAATCTGGTGGGGGCAATTTCTTAACTTATGTTCCCTCTTCTTAATGGCCTCTAGCCACAATACTTGGAGACAATTTAGCAGAGAAAAAAAGGCTCAGGTGTGCTGGGGTTATCTGAGAGGAGGGAGCCTCAATTGAGAAAATGTCTAGAATATCAAGCTATAGGTACATTTTCTTACTTAGTGATCAATGGGGGAGGGCCCAGCGTGTTGTGCGGTGCCATCCCTGGCTGGTGGTTCTAAAGCAATCTGAACAAACCAGAAAATAGCTCCCCTCCATGTCCTCTGCATCAGCTCCTGTCTCCAGGTTCTTCCTGACTGTCTTTGATGGTGAACAGCCATGTGAAGGTGACCCAAATAAACCCTTTCCTCCCCAAGCTGCTTACACTCATGGTGTCTCATCACAGCAATAGGAACCCTGACCAAGTCAGGCGTGGGACACCCAATGCCATGGGTTTATACTCAGTGCTGCCCATGTCACACCAACTCTATAGAGCCTTGATTTTTGACCTCACATCTCTAGAGCAGACCTGTTTAAAGCAGCTGTGGACAAGGCTGTGTCACCAGCCAGGCAGCTTGTAATGAATGCTTTGGGGATGGGTGCTAGGTAGGGGACAGAGTTGGTGGCACAGGCCATTTGGAATCCAGGGGCACCTCTGTCTGCCACCACAAGGCCTCCACAGGTGCATTCAGTATGGTAGGTCACATAGACCTTTGGGAATGAGCTCAGAGCCATAGCCCTATGAAGACCTGTTCCTCCTGATATGTTGTCCCCTGCAACCTGAGTTCTTCCAAGGCAAACACAATCTGCCTACCTTCCACAGCCTTCACTGACAACAAGGAGCCACCATCTCAGCCCCACAGGAAGGCACTGTGCTCTGGGTCACTTTGTATTACTTTGCATTTGTATTACACTCAGAAAAACTTGGAGGGATGACTTTCTTTTGTCCATGTGGGTCCAGGTTTTCTGGCTTGGTTGCCAACATTTTTACCTGCAGCCATAAACTTAACAGTGTCCTGCTTTTAGCATCTTGAGTGTTGGTATGACAGACATGTGCCACCATACCCTTCTTGTAGTCTCAGGTCTTAGAATTCTTTCAGGTTTATTCTATGTGTATTAGCCTGCATGTCTGTCTGGGCACCACATACCTGCAGTGCCCACAGTGTCAGAAAGGAGCATCAGTGGTGGACTGACCCAGCGCTCTCCAAGAGCAGCCAGTGCCCTTGGTCTTGGAGCTCCCTTCAGCCCCTCCCTCTTCTCCCCCCTGTGGCTTCCCTGCTCACAGGTACTTCAATCAGCCTGCAGTCTGTGTGTGTCAGCAGCAGGGATAGAAGGTCTTCTCTGCTGGCCACCTGCCTGTGTGATGAAGAGGATGCTGGCTGTCACCAGGAGTCCAAGACCCTCCTGGTCCCTCAGGGTAGCAGTGCTCAGGAGGGCTGCAGCTGCGAAGCACTAGGGCCTGGAGTTTACCTCCCAGGAACTCATCTATCCCTTGCCAGCAGAAACTATAGGCAGGAGTCCTGAACCGGAAGAAGAGCCATCAGTACAACCCCAGTGTCCAGCACCCGGAACTTAACATTTCAGCCTCTCCACTTGGCAACCCACTAAGAAAAACCTCAAACTCCTGATCCTTCTGCCTCACCTCCCCCGCTTCCGGGGTGACAGGCTTGTGTCACACAAATGGTGCTGGGGCCACAATCCTGCCTCCTGTGCCTGCATGCAGGCCAGCCTTCCAAGCGACCTACGAGTTCCACCGCCCCTAGTCCAATGCTGAATGTTTACTAAGGTTATTAGAGGGAGGCTGGATCCCAGCCAGTGTTTTGTAGAATTCCAAGGCCTATCATTCTACGGCTGGTGGCCTTGGTGGCCTCCTCCAGGGGCCTTCCTCCCTTACATCAGGCCCTTCCTTACCCTTCTGCTCACTCCTCTCCTTCCGCTTGCATTTCCATCCCTCCCTAGCTGCCTGCAATGCTCCCCATTACAGCGGATTGCACACTAAAAACAACCATGTTCGGCCCGGAGTGGACTCCAGGGGCTCGAAGCCTGGACGATAGCTCAGGGCGTCAGGGAATGGGGCTGGGGAGGGCGGGAAGGTGAAAGGAAGGAAGGAGACAGTAGGGACGCGGCCAGGTGCGTTCATTGTCCAGGATGTTGAGGCAGGAGGATGTTGACATTAAGGCCAGCCTGGGCTACCTGGTGAGGTTGTTTGAAATGGGAGGAAAAAAAAAAAAAAAAGCAAGAGGACCCGAGTTCGACTCCCAGAATCCGTATAAAAAAGATGCTCTTGGAGGCATATCTCTGTAATCTCAATATGGGGTACTGAGGCAGGAGGATGCCCGGGCTTGCTGGTCCTCAGATTCAGCAAGCGGGCACGCGCGCGCGTGTATATGTATGCGCGTGCATGCACGCGGAGGCGGGGCTTCCAGGGTCTCGCGCCGTTTCAGGCTGTTCCTTCCCGCCATGCGCGTTCCCGAGGCTGCAGCGTCTCCTCCCTTGGTCTTAGCCGCAGGTCCTAGACTTCCCGGCCCCTCGCTCGCCCCTGGTCCAGGTTTGCAAGGGGGGGCGGGTGTGTAAATGTGGTCACACTTCGCCTGATAATTGTGCGAGGCGCCAGATCCCCTGGCGTTCCCGGCCAGGAGCCTTACCTGGGCTCCAGCGCTTGAGCAATCAGAGGAGAGATGGTGGGTGGGGCGTGGCTCAGTGTAAAACAACAGCTGAATGTGCGCAGACAACCCTAACCCTATCTTATGCCCAAAAACAGAATGAAAGAAAACTCGTACAAAAAAAAAAAAACAAAAACAAACAAACAAAAAACAGAAAAGAAAGACCGTGCGGAGCTGGGAGGTCCTGCAAGAGCAAGCACCCTGGCTTATTGGGCTCAGGTCCGGTACACCCAGGTCATAGTTTGTCAGACCTAGTCATGGCAGAGCAAAGCTACTGATTTTGCAGAGGCGGGGAAGGGGAGCTGGGGTGACTCCTCCCTCCATCCTAATGTGTCACTCATCTCCCAGCCCTTTAAACTGGGAATTGTTGGTGGACTCACCCACTGGTGATGGCAATGGCCAAATTCTCTGGCCACCACTGAACACTCAGTTTTCTTCTTCACCTCTTCCTCCTTCTTGTTTTGTTTTGTTTTTAGAGATAGGGTTTCTCTGGAGCCTGTCCTGGAACTAGTTCTGTAGACCAGGCTGGCCTCGAACTCATAAGAGATCCACTTGCCTCTGCCTCCTTAGTTCTGGGATTAAAGACATGAGCCACCAACACCCAGCTGAACACTCGGTTGTCAGCGTGGGAGCCCAGGCTAGCCTCTGAAGTGCAGGATCCATGTGGGAAGTACTACTGTAGTTGATTCACTCTTACATTGCTGCATACTATACCCTTTGGGGAAACATTCTGGATCTAAGCCATTCCCATTTAGTCTGATTCAGGGTTAGGGCTCCATTACAAAGCAATGTGGGCTGTGTTTCAGTTACAGGTTCATCATGAAGGGAAGCCAGGGCAGGAGATCAAGCAGGAACCTGGAGGCAGGAAGTGAAGGGGAGGCCATGGGAAGTGCTGCTTACTGTTCTGCTCTTAATGCTTCTAATTTCCTCTTTCTACATCCCAGGACCATGTGCCCAGGAGTGGAATTGCCCACAGTGAGTTGGGTTGTCCCATACCAGTCACCAGTCAAGAAAATGCCCACAGACACATCCACAGCCTGGTGGAGGCATTTTCTCTGAGGTCACTGAGGTTATTTTCTAGGTTTGATAACACACGAACCAGCATGGTCACCCATTGAGAGGTGTGTATAAATGGCATGTACACACACACACACACACACACACACACACACACACACACACGAACAATTTTCCTCTTCATAGTTCAGACTAGGGGAGACTCTTCTTCCATCACTTCATAGATGGAGATACAACTGAGGCATACAGAGAATCCGGCAGCTGTGTGGCACAGACCCATGACAGAAGTGCCTGGGAGTGGGAAACACCAAACCAGGCCAGCACTAGCCACAACAACCAATCAGTCATGGTAGGTTGGATGGTCACCCACTTTCCACCTGACGCTGGTGTGTGCTCACATTTAAAATGTCTAAGGCTATTGTCAGCATTCTCAACCCCCAGAACCTGAAGGTGATTTGAGGACCGAATATCATACAGGCTCCTGGGGCAGAAAAGGGACACTTGGAACATGTGAATGTCCACGTGAGTTCACATGTAGAGACACTGGCTATGGGTCATCTGGGTATGGTGTCTATAAGGATTCCCATGACCACCCTGCTGCTAGATAGTTCTCAAGTTACAGGTTTGATTATCTTTATTGTTCTAGTTGATGGCTGTGGGTTAGTGTGCACATGCCACAGCAAACACAAGGGGGTCAGAGGACACTGTGCAGGGGTCCTACTCTCCCACCATGTGGATCAAACCCAGACTCTGCCACAAGCACCTATGCCTGATGAGCCATCTCACTGCTGAAGCCAGTGTTTAATGTGCAGAGTTGCCATCAGAATCCAGCATCATTCTGGGGCAGAGCTGCAGTAGATGGGTCCTGGTGACTGGTGGGGCAGCAGCAGAATGGGACTGACTGGCTTGACCCCCAGCCACAGGAAAATGCTAACTGGCAGTGTCTGAGGTCCAAGACTTCCTGTCAGGGCTTCACACTGGGGTGTCCCCAGGCTGGTGGCCCCAGTGCCGTGGAGGTGCTTCCAGGTCAGTGGAGGCTGGTAATTCAATAGTTATGGGGCCAATTAGGCAGCCTGTGTCCCTGAATGGAAGGTTGAACTGGAGCTCAAGCCAGGGAGTTGTCTCTAAGTCTTATGGGGGTGGAGTAGATATATAGCTCTTGCATAGCACTGGATTCTGTCACCAGAGCAGCCTGAGTAAGTTAATGAATGACACATAGTATGAATGGATGGACTAGATGCTGTGTGACCTCCAAAGCAATTCCAAGCCCTTCAGTGCCTTTGTTTGTAAAATGAGGCTCAAAATTAAATATTACCTCACTCACAGCCTTGGAGAGATTCTCCAATAGCCATGCACACAGTAGGTACTCAATAAATGCTGCTGCTCCTTCCTCCATCCCTCCATCCCTTCCCCTCCCTCCCTCCCTCCCTCCCTCCCTTCCTCCCTTTCTCCCTCCCGTGGGCCGCGCAGGTTTCAGGGCCTAAGGTGCGTTTCTGGTCACTTTAAGTTATGCAAATAGCCTGCGGGTGAGTGGCGCGGCTCAGCCAACCCGCGCAAGGCTTGTGAAGCTCCGCGAGGCGGAGCTCTTTTAGACCACACCCCGTAGGCGGGGCCAGAAGCGCGCTCCGCAGCGCGCGGGGAGGGCGGGGCGCGGATCCAGAGCGCGCTGGTGGCGGCGGCGCGGGGTGAATGTCCCCAGGCGCGGGTCGCCGCAGGGTGAGTGTTCGCGGGCACCGGGCGAAGAGCGCAGGGTGAGTGTCCTGAAGCGCGGGGCGCGGGCGGGCGAGCGCAGCCTTCATCCTGACCTGGTCCGAGCGCAGGTGCTGCCTGCAAAAGGCGGGGTGCCGCTTCCCTGAATCCGGGTCTAGGAAGCGGGGACCCCGAGGACTCCCAAATTCCTCCTCCAGATCTTCAGCCCTCAGCTCCCAGGACCTAGGGTGGGGGCCGCCTCCCTCGCTGCCCATGTGGTCCCTGTCCTCGCCTGACAGCCGGTGTCACCTCCCTCCCATTTCACCGGCCCAGGGCTTGACAGGCAAGTGGGGGCTCTGCAGGGCGAGAGCAGTGGAGCCGCGGGGCAACCGGGGTCCCTCTCTGGCAAGCAGGGCCTGAAGAGGCCTGGAGCCCGCATCAGGAACTCCCGCGCTCTGTAAGGGAGGCGGCCTGCATGTGCTCCTAGGGACAGAGTTAGTCGAGGTGATGGAGGATGAGATGCAGAGGTGGTCGGGGGCGGTAGCCCCTCAGCTCGTCCGCAGGATCATCGTAGAACCTGCTTCATGGTGACCTTGGGCAGGTGACAGCACCTCCCTGACTCCTAGTCTCCTCTTTGGAATGTTGATGTTGAAGAGGCCAGTCTGTCTCAGAATCCCAACATGCACACCCCATTTTTGCCAGATGGGGATCCCATTCTTTGGCCAAAGGTTAGGGAGAGATTGAATTTTTGGCCCTTTAAAATGGGTTGAACCTGGCAGGGTTATTCCTGTCCCTGCGAGGTAGAGCCTGCAGAAAGGTCTGAATCTTGTGTCCAGCCTGGGCTACATGACCAGACTTTGCCTCATAAAAAAGCATGAACAAAAACAAACCATGACATTGATTGATGGGTACAGTCTGGCTTTCCTGGAGAAACCTAGAACCAGGAGAGGACAGTTCCCACATGACCATTAGATGGGATCCACCTGCCATCAAGACCTGGCCTCTGTCACCCCGGTCCCACCGGTGTGGCTGCCCGGGTCACACCCTGACCCACATACCATCACCTATGCCAGAGCCCAGCCCGGTTCCTGGGTGCAGTCACAGGTGGGAGGTCAGGCGCTTAGCCCCTGCCCTTGCAGGACAGTGGGATGAGCCCCAGGCAGGAAGCCTGACACTCCCAAACTGGTGTGTCAGACTCCCTGAGCCTTCTGTGAAATGGGCCAAAACCCCGTGGGAAGATCAGAGGTGACAGTAGGAGTGAGGGCTCACTGTAAAACCTGCTCCTCATATTAATTATGATATTGTGCTCCTTAAGTGGGGTCACGACCAATGAGAAAATGGGATATCTTTGAAGGGTGTGACCAGAGTCACCAGCACCCAGGGGCTAGGGTACACAGAGGTGCTCAATGTGTGTACATCTAATGAAGTGACTCAGCTGAGGCTGGGGCCTCAGTTTCCCTGCATGGAGCACTGGCTGAGTCTGGGGACAGCATGAGCTTTTTGATGGTATCACAGAGGTTCAGAGACAAAAGGTATGGGTGAAGGTCACACAGCAAGGGGCCAAGGGCTGTGGGCATACCCAACTCCCACCCAACATCCAGAGTGCCTGACCCAGGCATGCCTATCCTCTGCTCCCAGACTGCTGTTCGCACACCCAGACCCCAGGTTTTGGGGAATTGGTGTGTAGGTTTGTTGGGGTGGAATGTTGTGTGATGCTGAGCAAGTGTCTGTCAGTCTCTGGACCTTATTCTGGTGTTTCAGTGTCCAGGAAGCACTGGGTTTCATTTGGAAAACTGTCTGAGGGCCACAATATTTTTAGGGGCCTCCATGGTGTTTTAACATCCTTTCAAATCATATTGGTAAAACAACTCAAAACCCCCCAAGAACATAAGGCCGAGGGATACTCAGTAGTATTCAGTGTTTACATTTCAAAGTCAGGTGTAGTGGCACACCCAGAGGTGGGGGCCAGAAGACCAGGACTTTGAAGTCATCATCTGCTACATTTAAGGCCCAGCCTGTGTTACATGAGACCTTGTCTAAAACAAGCTTTAATCTGTTGGGCCTTAAGTAGTTGTGAAGAATGTTTGGGTTTCCCTCTCTGAGGGGAGGCATCACACATTTAAAAGTCTCATCAGTTTCCCTCTTGGTTACCCTGGCTCCATAGATAGTCATGCTTATTCTAATTAGTGTGTCTCTGGTAATGGTCACGTTGTCCCCACCTGCTTCCTCAGCATCCCTCTCTGCATGCTGCCCTGTGGCTGTGGGGAGGTCCCAGGGGTACTGGGCGGAGAGGTGATGGCTGGGTGGCAAGCAGGGCAGGCCAGACTTCCTGTCCTCCTCCACACAGGGGCCTCCATTCAGGGCTGGCGGAAGTGTCAGGGCCAAGGGCGGCCTCCCGTGTTCACCCGTTTACCCGTCCCCTAGGGGCTCTCAGCCCTGCTCGGTGCTCATCGGTGAGTTTGATCCCAGCATACATCTTTGTCGCCTTAGAACAGGAAGGTGTCCCACAGCTGTGGACTCTGGGGTCATCGATAGCTGTCACTTCCTGGGCCAGGTGGCAGTATCAGGGCCCATTCTTGGCACCACCTCCTGCCTCCCCAGGTCTCCCTGACCAGAGTTCAGGTTGTGGACCTTCAAGGGCCACTGGGTGGAGTTCTGGGCAGCCAGGTGGGCAGTTGCGGCTGTGAGAGACAGTGTTTAACATGAGAGGAGGAGCTGGTGGGGTGAATGGATGTGTGGGGTTGGGGACAGCATGCATGTGTGACTCCTCAGTGGCTTTGCATGTGGTGGAGTGGGGGTGGGGCAGCTGTCATGACATTGATGACTTCCGGGAACAGCACCCAAGAGCCTCTTCAACCTGGCAGAAGTTTATCTGTCCTGTTGCAGATGGCTCCCAGGGCTGTGCATTTGAGGGCCTGGCCACAGGGGGTGGGTTTTACTTCACATAAGATGGAGTTGCCACACGGATGCGGGGGGGGGGGACCGGGTCCCCTGTCCTTCAGCACATTTTAGGGGACTCAGATAGGCCTGGCCAGGAACCAGGACACAGGAGGAAGGTGGTGTGGTGGCTCCAGTTTGTCACCACAGTTCTTGGGAAACTGAGGCAGGAGGATGGACATGAGTTAGAGGTCAGCCTGGGATATAGAGTGAGACCCCACTTCAAAATCAAACAAAACAAAGAAAAGCCACACTATGGACATTTGGGCTTTTCCTCCTGGAGTGTCAGTGTGTCTCTCCACAGAGGAACTTCTAGAAGCATTGCCTAACCCAATGAAATTATTATTTCCCTGGTGAACTCCTACACCTGCTCCAGGGCCTCAGCGGCCATATCCCTCCCATTGGCCTTGGCTTCCCCAGTGTCCTCCTTATATCTGGGACACACAGCCTCTCAGGCCAGGCCAGGGGAACCTCCCAGGTGCAGCTTGGATCCATGAACTCTAGAGGATCCTGAGTTATAGGCCAGGTTCCTGTGTTAGGTAAACTGAGGCTCAGAGCTGAGTGGGTCCTCTCAGGTCTGGTCCTGTTGTCAGCTGTCCCTGTCTAGTCTGTCACTGGGCCTCCTGGGCTCCAGCTGTCGCCTTGCAGCCCAACAGCTCATGAAATATGAATGAAGACACCAGCTCTGATGACCGTGTGCCGAGGATTCTGCACACCCTCCATGCCACGTGACCCCACCCTATGCAAAGTGACCTGGGCTTTCTGTCTCCTACAGATGGAGAAACTGAGGGGCAGAGCTGAGTGACTTAGAGCCAGGTGAACAGTGGCTTCCAAGGGACTCCTCATGTCATGGAGCCCCTGACAGACACTTCAAGGGACCCTGTACATCATGCCCAGACTTCTCCTACAGAAACCACAGACACAAAGTCCACTGTCCCTTTCTGCCATTTGACCTTGGCTTCTCCTCTTGGGAAGTGACTCATCTAAATCTACATCTACATCTAAAATGGCCTAGAAGCATTTTGTCTAGAATTCAGTTCATCCGGTATCACTGTGGACTTTACCCATAAACTCCTATTCATGCTTAAAAACCTATCTCACCTTGGCCCCCTCCACCCTAGCTCCTGTCCCCAACCCCCACGCTCATCCCCATGAGACTGAGACATATATGCCACAGGTGGGTAGCATTTCCCTGTTCAGGCCCTTGTTGGTTATGACTCAACCCCTGAAATGCACCTCTCTTTTCAGACAGATCCTGGACAGAGGCCAGCAGGGGTCTCCTCAGAGGCCACCAGGATGTCATATTTTGGGGAACATTTTTGGGTAAGACCTGCTGTTTTTTCTGTCCCCTTTTCCTTTTGTAACTCACTGCTCTTATTTTGGTGGAAGCTCACAAAGGGCTGGAGAGACTTTTATGGTTAAGGGGGACTGGGCAGATAGAAGGTGGAATTTAACACATGGAGACACAGGTTGCTTTAATCCAGGGCAAGGGACACAAATTATAGCACTGGGAACCAGGCCTGGAGCAGCATGTGTGGTCTGAGAATCACTCAGGAGAAGAGCACAAAGCTGGGTGCAGGCATACACCTGGGACCCCAGACCTGGAGAGACTGAAGCAAGAGAATGGCCGTCCCTAGTCAGCTTGGGTTATACAGGGACGTTTCCACAGATGGCACGTCAGAATAGCATGACCTTGTACCTGGGGCCAGACTGAATACCTCAGATCTGGGCAAGCCAATCAGAGAAATTCTTCATTTTGGGAAATTTGTTTTTTGAGGGGAGATTTCTCCCCCCCCAAAAAAAAGCCCCTGTCCCTCTTGAACATCTAGGCCTGCTGCAAACCAGGTCTGGGGATGAGAGATTCTCACATGTGAGCCCTGAGAGAGGAGCTGCCATTCTTGGGGACACAGAGCCAGCCAGATCATGTGGCTCAGCTCATCTCAGGGTTCCCCACAGCCCAGTCTGCTATAGCTCTGAAGGCCGGTATTCCAGGATGTACAAAAGCCATTACAACCACAGGGAACACCCTGAGTATCTCAGAGGTGTGACGCTGGGTGGCAACTCAAGAACAGAGGTCTCCTCCTGGTTGGTCGGGTCAGGGACCTGGGGAGCCACTGAGGATGCAGGAGCAGCCCCAGAGTGGGAGCCTGGAGTCTGGAGGCATCAGACTAACAGGCCCCTTCCATCCTAGTAGGCCCACTGCTTGCAAAGTGGTGCTGGTTACTAAGCAACCGGTTGCTCCTAGCAACAAGCCATACTCCCTCCCCCTCTCCCCAGCTGGGTCTCCTCTCACTTGCCTCTGCTGTCTTAAAGGGCCTCCACTGTCCCCTGCCATTTTCAGGGCTCAGATTCTCCCATGGCCTTTGAATGGCTGTGTGACCCCCAGGAGGTGTTGCCCTACGGGCTGTCATCCCACCCCTGTCCTTCAGCAGCAGCCCAGGAGACACCCACGTTTGGGAGCAGTGACAGTAGCTCCTACATGGATTGTCAGTGTTTTATATTCCAAAAGGTGTGAAAATGGGGGAGAAGTCAATGAACAAGGAGAGAATAGAAGCCACCCCAACTTCCCTCCCATGCATACCCCAAGATAGCACAGCTGCAAGGGCTCAGACCTTCAAGTTAGGAACCCTCTGGCTCAGAGGTTCTCCCTGGGGAGGGGCTGGCCAACTAGCCTCAGTTTCACCAGGAGGTACAGGAAATGGGTGAGAGCTCTGTCTTCTGGGACATGGATCTGTGGCTGAGCTATCAGGATCCTTTTCTGTTAATTCTCTGCTGAGGATGGAGCCCAGGGCCTCACCTCTGAGCCATACCCCCAGCCCCTTACGGCATGCAGGGCAGGGGAATCCTAGGCAGGGGCTCCACCCCTGAGCCATGCCTCAAACTGATTGGTTTTAGGGGTACCCCAGTTCCTTTGAGACAAGTCTGGGTCCAAACCCTAGAGAGCACTGGGGAGCCATGGCAGATGTCTGAGCACTAAAGGGGTATCAAACCATGTTCAAATGTCCTTTGGCTGTCACCCAGAGGTTCTGATCAGAGGCACAGGCCCTGGGCATCTCTCCTCAGACCCTGAGCTGTCTGCCTACTTCGAGGAGGCAGACAGTGCAGAGGGCTTGCCAGGCCTGGGAACTGGGCCAGTGGCTGGCTCTGTGTTAGCCCCAGATAATGGCCTGGGCAGCAGTGCCTGGTGCAGCCTCGCCCGAGGATCCCTAGTAGTGGCAGGTGGGCTCAGTGCAAGCTGTGTGGGGCCCTCATTACCCAGAAGGCCCTTGTTTTGTGCAGAATACCAGACACATCTCACGCACGAAGCTACTGTGTGGCAGTTGCTACCATTGCTGCCATTTTTCACGAGAGAACTAGGGCTCAGGGGGCGCAGCCACTGCCCCAGGGTAGCCCAGTGCACTTCAGTTGGAAGAGACAATATATACTCCTGGTGGGGAAGAGGGCCTAACTGAGACCCTGTGGGGAGGTGGGAGCTCTGAGCAGAGCCATGGGGCCATAGAATGGTCTGTGTGGAAGCTGGAGGATCCAAGAGGAAGCTGAGAGCTGAGGTGAGGAAACAGGAAGACACTAAGGATTTTGGGGGTGTTGGCCACTGGTGACAGTAGGGAGCTGTTGATAACAATGGGTCTAGGATGGGGGACTGTGACTGTGGCAGGACCATTCAGACATAATGCTGACCTGGGTTTGTTCCACTCTTGGCTTTGGTTGGAAAAGTGCTTGCATTGCAAGCATCAGGATCCGAGTTCAAGGCTCTAGCAGCTGTGCCAAGAGTTGCCATGCAGTACGTCTATAACCCTGCACAGGGGAGGATGAGGCAGGAGGATCTCTGGGGCTCTAGTCACAAGATTCAGATTCAGTAAGACTGACTCTGAAAACAAGGTGGAGGATGATAGAGGAAGACATCTGATGTCGACCTCTGGCCACGAAAAGCGGCACCCAGGAGGTGTAGCCTTAAAAATGTAGTAAAGGTCCCAGGCTTCCCCTGGGCAAATGGGAAAGCTCAGCCTACTGATCCAGTGAGGTCTCTCCCATCTCTGCAGACATTTGACTCCTTGGACTCCGGGCCTGTCTCTGTTGATAGTCAACCTGACTGGTCTTCTCTGCCTTATATATCTGCTCACTCATGCCTTGCAGGGTGACAAAAACCATGGCTTTGAGGTGCTCTACCATTGTGTGAAGCAGGGTCCTGTGGCCACCAAGGAGCTGGCTGACTTCATTAGGGAAAGGTGAGATGTGGGGCTTGCCCACCAGGGAGAGCCCACCGGGACACACCCGCCCAGGCTCTGGCTGAGCACATCCTTGCAGGGATTCAAGGAAGGACCAAGAGCACAGGTCCAAATTCCCAGAATCAAATGACCTAAGCATCCCAAGTTCTCCAACCCCATGGGTCCATTTCTGCCTGGTACCACCTTTTGTTTATTTTTATTTTACTTTCTATTTTGAACTGAACTGTGTGGAGGGGGTGGTGCACATGCCATGATGTCAAATGCTGAGGGCAGAGGAGAGCGTAGTTGAGTTGGTTCTCTTCTTGTGCCATGTGGGTTTTGGAGATTGAGGTCATCGGGCTTGACTGCAAGCATTTTACCCACGGAACCATCTCACTGGCTTGTGTGCATCCCAGGAGTCTGATGACTCCTTACTGGAAATAAGATCATGTACTCACAGGAAGGAGTTAAAATTCCGAGTTCTAGCTTCAGAAGTGGAAACATGTATGATTTGAGTATTGTTGGTATTCACCCATAACTCCAGCACTGGCAAAAGTTGAGGCAGAAGAATTACCATGAGTGTGAGGCCTACCTGGGCCACATATCTAAACCCCTTTTCAAAAAAAACTGAACAAAAATATTAAAAAAGGAGAAATAAAATTATCCAATCCATTTCCAAACTGTTTTGAGAGCAAGGTGTAGAGATGGGGACACTGAGGCAGAGAAAGGCCTGTCTCAGGCTAACTGAGTCTGCCTGTCTTTGCTGCTCTCCGATCCAGGGCCAGCATCGAAGAGACGTACTCGAAAGCCATGGCCAAGCTGTCCAAGATGGCCAGCAATGGGACCCCCATGGGGTGAGTGCAGTTGGATGGGTGACCCTAATGACCTCAAGCAACCCGGGACCTGGTGGACACAACTTCTGTCAAGTCCCATATCAGCAAGGACAGCTCTACTGTGTGAGGGGCTCCAGGGGGGTATCAGATACACTGAACCTTGCCTGTCCCCAGGACCTTTGCTCCACTCTGGGAGGTTTTCCGTGTGTCCTCGGACAAGCTGGCACTGTGCCATCTGGAGCTGACGCGGAAGCTCCACGACCTCCTCAAGGAGGTGCTGCGTTATGGCGAGGAACAGCTCAAGGCCCACAAGAAGGTAGCAAACTGCCCTGGCAGGCATGCAGGGGTGTACCCAGGACCCCAGATGAGCCTGCGTACCCACTTGCAGATTAGAGTGTATGGCTGAAACTAGGAGAGCATACCTGCAAGCCCACACTCCAGTCACTGGGGGATCCTAGTCAGGGCTCCACCCCTGAACCACTCCCCTTCCCTGCTTTTTGCTACCCACAGTGCAAGGAGGAAGTCCTGGGTACCGTGGATGCGGTGCAGGTATTGGCCAGCGTGGGTCAGCTCTTGCCAAAATCTCGAGAGAATTACCTGAGCCGCTGCATGGACCTGGAACGACTGCGCAGAGAGAACACCAGCCAGAAGGAGCTGGATAAGGTTTGTTGGCCTCCTGACCAGAGAGAGACATCATGCCATACAGCGCTGGACACTAAATTGTGCGGCTACCTCCCGGACTTTCAGAAGGTGGCTTGGCAGGATGGTAAAGCCACCCGATTGTCCCTATGGCAACTCACATGGTTCCCTGTCTACAATTCCTAGGCTGAAACCAAAAGCAAGAAGGCAGCTGATAGCCTGCGGCGCTCTGTGGATAAGTACAACTCCGCCAGGGCTGACTTTGAGACCAAGATGCTAGACTCGGCCCTGGTGAGAACCTTGCCCTGTGGTGGCTGGACCCCACACTCCCTGCAGGGGTGCCCTGTCCTAGCCACAGTCTCCCAACTCCAGGGACCCGAGGCAGGAAGATTAGGAATTCAAGATCATTCTGGGCTACATATTAAATATAAGGCCAGCCTTGTCATTCTGAGAAAAGGTAGAAATCGTCATTTAAACAGATCTACTTATGGATTTGTAGTTGGAATTGAAGCTAAGACACCCTTAGAATATACAGGCTGGTTTAATTTAGCAGTTTATTCTCCAGTCCCATGTATCTCAGCAGGGTTTGCCCTTCACTCATCAGCATTCAAAACATTCACAGTCAGCAAAACATCATACATGATCCAGACACCCTGTGTATTTCCTATCTTTATATGACTTATTCTTTTTATTTTACTCTATTCTCTCTTTAAAGACTTTATTATTATTACTTGCCTTTTCAAGACAAGATTTCTCTGTGTAGCTGAGGCCTCAAACTCAGAGATGCCCCTGTGTCTGCCTCCCAGTGCTGGGATTAAAGTTGAGCACTACCACTGCCCAGACTTCATTATTTTAAAACTATTTGTTTTTTCTATGACTGTCACATTTCCAAGCATTCTGTACCTGTTCAGAAGTATTTTTCAGGCTCTCTGGCTGCATTAACTAAGCTTTTAACAGCTAGGCTACTAGTCGCTGTCTCCTGGCCCCTACGGTAGGTCCAGCAGGCTGGTTCTGGGAAGAAGCTGCTGTTTGACTTCCCTTGAGAGCTGAGCCTCATGTCTGAGGATTACCAGACTAAAGTCTGGGAAGTTGGCGGGCCTGCACTATGGCAGGTGCTTCTATCTAGTCTCCTGCTAGGTAGTTTGCCAGGTAGCTTGTTTGGTGGGTGCAGGGGAGTCTGGCATGGCTAGATCCAGGCGTTCCAATGGCATCCTTAGGATGTCATCTCTCTCTGGCTGGTTGTTGGTTCTAGGGACCTTACTCCTATGCTGACAGAGGACACGCAGGGCTAATTTTCTTTTTTGAGATAGGTCTCACTATGTAGACTAGGCTGGTTTTAAACTCATAGAGATCCTCCTGCCTCTGCAGTACTGGGGTCAAAGGCCAGTACATGGGGAGCAGGTATGGGGACAGCAGTGCCCCTTTGACTTGCAGCAAAAATTTGAAGGCAGAATCTCATTGGTGATTGATTCCCTAAGCCAGTGGGTGGGTTGATCTGACCGGTTAGCTTGGGTCACATGCCTGTCTCATCTTAGCGCTTTCAGGCCATGGAGGAGTCACACCTGCAACACATGAAGACCTTGCTGGGCTCCTATGCCCACTCAGTGGAGGACACCCACGTGCAGATTGGGCAGGTGAGGATAGGCCCCAACCTCCTGTCTGGCCTCACAGAGGCCATGCCCCTTCATGCCCTCCCTGTCCCCTACCTAGGTGCATGAGGAATTCAAGCAGAACGTGGAAAATGTGACAGTGGACATGCTCCTCAGGAAGTTTGCAGAGAGCAAGGGCACCGGCTGTGAGAAGCCTGGTGAGTGACAGCAGGGCCTCACTCTTCTTTGAAAAAATGGAGTGGTGGCAGTTCTCTGTCCCTGACTAAGCCCATGTAGGGAAGGCATCTGATGGCTGATCTCACATAGTCCAGTCCTTGACCTGAATCCCTAAAGGGTCATGAAAGTTCGGCTTGAAGGCTTGGCTGTTTCTCACTACACCTCAAGAGCCTCAGGTAGCCATTGATGGTGTTGAGCCCAAGACATCCTTGTTGAGAGCCAAAGTTTGATAGGCTGGGTTTGGGTCCTTTTTGCCTTGCTAGTTTTGTGACCTTAGTCACATGTCTTGACTTCTCTGAGCTTGCTTCCTCATCTATAAAGTGGAGATCACAGTCCCCTAAATGCTGGTGCACTTTGTCCAATGACCCAGGTGACCAGGAAAGCTGTCCTCCTTGCTGTATCTATGTTCAATCAGCCAGGCCATGCCTAGGTCTCCCTCTCACACCCTCCTGCTCCTGTTGTGGAACCCTGTGTGCCTCTGACCCAGGCAGGCCTGCTTCTGTCCCTCAAACTTCCTTCTTTTTTGCCTCAGGGCCTCTGGACTTCGACACCTATAGCACAGCTGCCCTGCAGGAAGGCAAGTACGTCTGGGCCTGGATGCCCAGGCTAGACCAGGGACTGGGAGAGAGATCTAAACAGAAGGGGAGAGAACCTTCCAGAGATTAGCTGCCCTCCTTCTGTCAACAGCAATGAAACGTCTCCGAGGAGCCAAGGCCTTCCGCCTTCCAGGACTGAGCCGGCGGGAGCCCCGTGCATCTGTGTGAGGATGTGCTCCATCCTGGCTTAAGCTAGCCCAAAATTCTGACCCTTGCTCCAGCTAGCACAGAAGTCCCTATGACACTTCCCTATCTCAGACTGCCCCAGGGTCACTTCTGCTAGCCCAGAAAGATCTCTGTCCCATGCTGCATCAAGAGAGCCACTTCCCCAAACTAGACTGGAATCCCTCCTTTCACCCAGGCTGAGCCAGAAGCTGCTTGGCCCATTGTAGCCTAGGTTGGCCATGATCCCTCCCTTGCCAAGGCTAGCTCATCTGTTCTACTGTTTGAGGCTTTGTCTAACTCAGCTGCCTCTAGAAGCCCCCACATTCTCAAAGAAGCCCCAAGTCCCAGCCTATGGGCTAGCTTGGGGCAATATGGTGGGTATCCCTCCTGGGGGCTCCAGCTACCCACCCCTGTTCCTTTGTCCCCAGGGACTTCCTGGAGTCTGATTCAGGGGTGAGTACTGCGTGGGAAGGGAATGGGTGGGCGGGGCTAGAGGGGCCCAGGGTGTGGCTCAGAAGCAAGCCTCACCTCTGTGGTCCCCATGTGAGGGATTGGAAGGTCTACCGTGTCTCAGTTTCCCCTTGGATTTGCCTACATCCCTGGAATATATTCTGATGGGGACCAGAGTGGGTCATTAGAGGGACCTGACTCCACCCCCAGGTGCCTCCAGAGGTGGATGAAGAAGGCTTCACTGTGCGTCCTGATGTTTCACATAACAATATCCTTTCTTTCCATAAGTCTGTCTCCCAGGAGGGTCCTACTGTGCACCAAGGAGGGCCTTGTCCTGTGTGCTTCACAATGGTAGAAAGGAGGGGTGAGAGACAGGTAGTGGTAGCACACCTCTTTAATCCAGTGGGAGGCAGAGGCAGGCTCATCTTGGAATGTGAGTTCCTGGCTGGCCAGGGCTATGTAGAGAGATCCTGTCTCAAAATAAAGATGGACAAATAAGACAGGTGGACTTTTATGATGGGATACCCAGGAAGGGTTCCTGGAGGAAGGGCATCAGTGTGGCTGAATAGAAGCTCCCCAGGTAGCTTTCTGAACATAAGGGGTCAAAACTAACTGTACAGGGCCTGCGTGTCCGGGAGTGTGGTCAGATTCAAGATTGACTCCTTGACAGAGGCCCACGCACAGCCGAGCCCCCTCGATTCTCCTCTAGTGACTCTGATTTTGACGATGAGGAGCCTAGGAAGTTCTACATTCACATCAAGCCCGCCCCCACCCGCACTGTGAGTGGCAGCTCTGAGGCTGCAGCTGCTCAGCTCCGAGCCACAGCCGGCAGCCTGGTCCTCCCACCAGGCCCAGGGGTGAGCTGGGTAACCATGCTCAGGAGGGTTGGGAGGGACACAGGACCCAGCAGTCTGCTGCTCAACCTCCTGTTGCTTTTCTTTTTTCTTTTTCCACAGGGCACCATGAAACGTCAATCCTCGAGTGAGTGGCCTGATCTGTTTGGGTTAGAAGGTGCCCTTGGGGGGAAAACTGGGTCTGGATGGCTGGAAATTGGGATTGGTTGGCTGTGCCCTCTATCCGCTCTGCTGGTCACCTTGGGCCTCTGGCTGACAAATGCCAGCCGTGATCCTGGTGGGACAGAAGCTCAAGACTCTGTCTGTCCTAGGGGACACTTCTGGGAAGCCACAGAGACCTCGGTCAGCCCCACGGACCAGCAGGTGGGGCCTGTGGGGTGTGTCAGAGCAGGCAGATGGGCCCCATGCCCCTGCCTCAAGCTTCCTCACCCCTCATCTGGGCTGATAAGGACATTATGAGGCTATTGGGGCGCCTGCTGTGTACTTGTGCTGTGCTGGGTCTGAGAGGCCTGTGGATAAGTTGCCCCTCAGAGACGCTATAGTGCTGTAATTGTGGATGAAGCTAGCATATCATCTAGAGCTCAGGAGCTTGGGCAGAGACCCTGCCTCACAAAGCAACACGGTCTTAGCATGGTGATGCATGGAGCGGGTGGCTGCCCTGGGTGGGCTGAAGGAAGGCCTCAGGTGAGGTGCGAGGCTCGGACCCACTCCTGTCGTTGTCCTCCCCACCCCTACCCCCGCCCTCAGCTGTGCTGAGAAGCCGCTGGCCTCGGAGGAACCGCTGCCCAAAAGCCTCTTCGGGCCACCTCTGGAGTCCGCCTTTGACCATGAGGACTTCACGGGTAGAGGGGGTGTGCACAGCAGGGAGAGCGGGACAGAGCCCCCAGTGGGTGGGGCCTTGGTTGGAGGGGCATGGCTATGGGCGTGGCCGGATGGAGGGGCTACTAATGTGGGAGGTGACAGCTGGGTGTGGGGGTGAACTATACTGACCATGGCCCTGACCATTCTCCCTCTTAGGCTCCAGCAGCCTGGGTTTCACATCCAGCCCATCCCCTTTCTCTTCTTCGTCCCCGGAGAATGTGGAGGACTCAGGCCTGGACTCCCCATCGCATGCTGCCCATGGCCCGTCCCCTGAGTCCTGGGTTCCCCGGCCAGGCACCCCGCAGAGCCCACCCACCTGCAGGATGCAGCCACCTGAGGCCAGGGGCCCAATGCCCCGTGCACCCTCGCCAGGCCCCTGGAGATCAGAGGCAGGTGCAGGTGAGCTGGAGCCCAGCGGGTGTCCCTGGTAGGCTGGGCACCAGGTGGAGGCCTTAGTAGGTGGGACCATCTGACGGTCAAGCAAAGGCCTTGGGGCAGGAGAGCAGGTGTTGAGTTGGCTGGCTTGGCACTGGAGTCTCCTCTGGGCCATGAGTCTGGGAGTGAGCTGCAGGAGTCTGAGACCTAGAAAGACAGCTATGGCTTCCAAGTTTGAAGGAAGCCTGGCTGAACCCTGTGGCCATTGCTGAATGGAGATCGAAATGGGCATACAGCCCCTCCCAGGCTTCAGGGAAAGCACTGGCCTGGAGCAGTTAGGCTGTCCTGACTGCTACCTGAGACCCTAGGAAGACTGACAGCTCGCTGGCATCCATGGGGGAGAATCTGTTTTTTTCAGCAGCTCCAAGGGGGAGTAAAGGCAGAGTGAGGGTGTGGCGTACCCACCTCGTAAGTTACCAGGCCCTCCTCCACACCCTTTCCATACCATTTTTGACCTGGGGTGCTACCCAGAAGCCCTCGGCCCATTGTTTCTTTTTGGGGGCTAATATACACCAATTCCTCACTCTAGACTCCATAATGCCTGCTGACTCCACCACCAGGGAGGGCCTGGCTGCACCACCCAGGAGACCTCAGTCCAGAAAAGTGTCCTGCCCGCTCACCAGGAGCAATGGTGACCTGGTGGGTGACCTGGTGGTGAGGCAGTTTCTGTTGGGAAGGGACTGCCCCTACAGGTAGCTCTGGGCAGTTCACAGCTCTGATTGTCTCATGCCCTGCAGTGCCGGTCCCTCAGCCCCTCCCCACTGGGATTGTCTGCCCCCAGCATCATCCCGGATCGGCCCAGCTTCTCCACCCAGATGGGACATGGTTTGTAGGGACAACTCCCCTTGGGGCCTTGGATTCCCTTCTGTGTCTGGGATGGTAGCTAAGTGGGTAAGGCCTGCCTTGCTCCTGACCACATCACCCCTACAGGCATCTCCCGTGGCCCCAGCCCTGTGGTCCTAGGATCCCAGGACACCCTGCCTGTGGCCACAGCCTTCACTGAGTATGTCCATGCCTATTTCCGTGGCCACAGCCCCAGGTAGGCTGTCACAGGAATAGCAATGTCAACGTGAAGGCTTTTGACTGAGGCTAGTGAACCCTGAGGCTCCCTAAGGAGGCGGTGGGTATTGAGCAGAAGGATGGGGCCATGTCCATGGTGAACTAGGGATTCTGAAGCTGGTTTGCCATCCCTGGGGCTGACAAAAGGAGACCTTAACATTAAAACCACAAAGAAGTGGTTAGTCTCTAGACCCAAACTAGGGGTGCTTAAAACACCAGCTATTCTGGGTTGAGATTCCTGGTGGCCCAGGAGAAAAAGGACCTCGGGAAGAAACCTTTCTTAGCCCAGGCTTGGGGGATGGTGGCCAGGGTTCACTCCGCCAGGCAGGGATGAAAGAGAAAGAAGTTGGGGAGAGGGTGCTGGGGACAATTAGAGCCTTGCAGGAGCTTAGGGTATCAGTGGAAACAGGAGGGTAGGAAATGTGGAGTCCTGATCCCACACCTGGTGTTTCCCCGGCTTCCCAGCTGCCTGGCTCGAGTCACCGGGGAGTTGACCATGACCTTCCCTGCCGGTATTGTGCGAGTGTTCAGTGGGACCCCACCCCCACCCGTCCTCAGCTTCCGGCTAGTACACACGGCCCCAGTAGAACACTTTCAGCCCAACGCTGACTTGATCTTCAGGTGCCTTGCATGGGCGGTGGTAGAGGGTCCCAGATGCACGTGGGGCCAAGGGCTCAGGGCCTTAAATGCCTGCAGCGCCTCCTGCCTGTTGGTGTGTGATGTGAGGCAGGTGGCTCTTCCTCTCTGGACCTACTTCTCCCACCCATGGCAGTTCAGGCTAAGGGGAGGGCGACTCCTGAGGGATGAGGATGTTCTGCCCCGTCTTTGCAGTGATCCTTCCCAGAGTGACCCGGAGACCAAAGACTTCTGGCTGAACATGTCTGCGCTGACAGAGGCCCTACAGCACCAGGCAGAACAGAACCCCACAGCCTCCTACTACAATCTGGTGCTGCTGCGCTACCAGGTGGGGTGCTGGGGGCGGGGCAAGGACTGGCCGCATAGATTATGCAAATGAAGTGGGGTGCCGGCCTCTGTACTCTCTTGCCCTTTGCTGGCTGCTCCGAGTACTGCGCATGGGTCCTAGTGGTTGTATATTGCGTGGACCAGGCTAGGTAGAGTAGCATGTCGATGTCCCCCAACCACCTCTGTCTTCTCATTCCTAAGTTCTCCCGCCCTGGGCCCGAGTCAGTACCCCTGCAAATGAGTGCTCACTGGCAGTGTGGGCCCACGCTCACTCGAGTCACAGTGGAGTACAGTTACCGTGCGGGCGCCACCGCAGTGTCCACACCGCTCACTAATGTCCAAATCCTGCTGCCAGTGGGAGAGCCGGTGACCAGCGTGCGTCTGCAGCCTGCGGCCAGCTGGTGAGCCACCCAGTTCGGCTGTGAACACATAGGCCAACAAACAAGGGTTTTTCGAGTTTGGGGGGGACAGTTGTGCCACACACAGTGGACTTGAAGCCACACAGGTGCCTCGGCTGGTGACCCATCTTCCTTTGCCACCAGGAACACGGAGGAAAAGAGGTTCACGTGGAAGCTTCCAGATGTGTGTGAGGCAGGGGGTGAGTCACTTGTTAAAACTGGGGACACTCTGGCAAGTAGGACCTGAAGAATCCCAGAGTAGGGTTCTCAGGGGACAGTCGGGCCTGTGGCAGGAGCATCTCCCTGACCCTAGGTCCCACAGGCTCGGGCCGCCTCTCTGCCAGCTGGCAGCCACAGACCGGGCCTAGCACTCCAAGCCCGGTGGCCGCACAGTTCACCAGCGAGGGTGCCACGCTGTCTGGCCTGGACTTGGAGCTACTGGGAGGCGGCTACCGCATGTCCCTAGTGAAGCGGAGATTCGCCACAGGTAACTGAAGGGCGGGGGCTGGGCTCCTGGGCCGGGCGCGGGAGGAGCCCACGAGAGGCCCCAGCTTTACCCTCCCCGCTCCCCGCAGGGATGTACCTCGCAAGCTGCTGAGGTGCACTGCTCCCGGACCTCCCGCTTGCCTGCCCACTGCGGCTTCCCCAACTCCCAGGCTGGATTCCCTGGACAAGAGCCTCTATCCGGGCCTGGCTGAGCCAAGACACCTCCTCCCTCCCTCCCAAGCGGGCCCGGTCCTTTTAGTAATCTTTAAATAAACACTTTTCTAACAAAATAAAAAGAAATCCACATTCCCGTTCTGTCTTCCAAATCCAGATCAGGAAGGGGAGGGAAAGGAGGGAGAGGGTAGTGGTACCCACAATGCATTTCATCTCCAGGGCTACCTGCTCTGCAATCTGTCCCTCTGACTCACAGTTCTTCTGACGGGAAGGAGAAATAGGTGAACTCCTAGGACAGCGGTTCTCAACCTTTCTGATGCTGTGACCCTTTAATACAATTCCTCATGTTGTAGGGCCCACCAACCATAAAAGTATTTTTGTTGCCGGGCGTTGATGGCCCATGCCTTTAATCCCAGCACTCAGGAGACAGGCAGATCTCTGTGAGTTCGAGGCCAGCCTAGAGCCTAGTGTACAGAGCTAGTTCCAGGACAGGATCTAAAACAATACAGAGAAATCCTGCCCGGGGGGAAAAAAAAAAGTATTCTTGTTGTTACTTCATAACTATAATTTTGCTACTGTCATGAACCTTAATGAAATATGTGGTCCCTGTGAAAGGGTCATTCAACCCCACAAAGAAGTTTTGGCTCACAAGTTGATAATCACTGCTCTAGAGGGTTCTGAGGTATACATAGGAGATTGCAACCTAGAAAAGGACAGACTTCCCAGGGAGATGCTGGCTTGGTGAGGAATTCATCAATTAACCCAGTCTAATACAGGGCTGGAAACAGGCTAGAGGGAAGGCTCAGCGCCTAAAATCAAGGACCAGGTTGTGTTCCCAGCATGCCTGCGCCCTATTCTGGCCTCCGAGGGCACGACACTCACAGATACATGTATAAAAATAGAATTAATCTTAACAAACAAAACAGCTCTTGGAAGCCCATGAGCCAGAAGGACTTAGTGACTGACTCCAGTCTTGGGTTCCCTGTCTGCACCCTGATAGTCAGGGTCTGTGGGGAGGCTGCACATGCAGCATGTACATGTATGTACAAGAAAAGATGACAGGACTTCCTAGGGCAGAGAGGAGGTCCATCTTGAGTCTCAAAGGACATGTGCAGAATTCTGAATCAACCCTGTGGCTCTAAAGATCCCTTTCCAAGCCTGGACCTCAGATCCAGAACCTAGAAGCTGGATGCATAACTCAGAGGTGAAGTGATAGCCTAGAATCCCCCAGTGAGGGGCTGGGGGCGTGGCTCAGGGGTGGAGCCCCTGCATAGCATTATAAAAAAAAAAAAAAAGGAAGGCTTTGATTTAAAAACCTCTGATTCTCTGACCTTCCCACCATGTTCTGCTGAGAGGAGTCTGGGTTTCTGCAGTCTTTCTTGTAAATTATTGCTCATACCTCAGAACCCTTATTGGTATAAGGAGCCTCCTCCCCCGCCTCTGGAAAGTGGGGTTGCAGCAGGTGCTGCCAGGCTTGGCCATCCTCCCTTCTCATGTGTGTGCCCAGATTGATGGCTGGTCCCTGTTCCAACCCCTGCAGGTACTACATGCCAGGTTACCATCGGCATCCCTTGTCTGGGGTCACAGCCACCCATTTATGGTTTATCTGCCCTTGTCTCCCTGCCCATCTGATAAACACTGAAAACATGGCACCTCCAGGTAGCTTGAATTTGCTTTCCTTGTGGTACAGGAAGGCAGGGCGCCTTTAAAAACACAAAACACAAGAGGCCTTTTTCTTAGGCCTGGCTTCCCTCAGCAGGCCTCTCCTCTGAGAGGTTCCCAGGAGACAGGAACTTATCTCACAAGGGTTAGTGTTAGCAGCAGGGCAAGGTCCTGAGTGGGGTATCATTGCCTCTTTATTATGTTGTGGTCTCTTGCACCTTGGTGACTCCAAAACCTCAACTATGCAGCAGAGTGAACTTTTGTGAGGCAGCTGATGGCTGAGAAGCTGGCATTCTGATCAGGTGACACAGAAGGTGTTTCCAATTGCATAGAAATGACATAACAGAAAATAAGCCTTTTCCAAGGTAATGACGTGGCGCATTTAGCACGGCCCACCTAGGCAGCCTCGTCTCCCATGTATTTCCAGAGCATTACTCCCCCCAAACCACCCCTCCCCAGCCCCTGGCAGCCATGATCTACTCCTTGTCTGTGGCTGTCCCTGCCCTGTGTATTTCTCCTGAACATGATACACACAGTTGGGGCTTGTGGGTTGGCTGCTGTCACTTCACTCCCTTTTCATGGTTGACTAATATTCCAGCACCTGGGCAGACCACTGCCACTGGGACCTCCAGATGCAAGGGCATAACCACTTGTTTTGAATTCTCTGGGTATACTGTGTCATGTGACATTCTGTTCTGTATCTTTGTCCACTGTGTATTGGTTAAGCAGCCAGTGTCAGGAGGACTCAGTTTGTAGTTTCCATACTTACTTCCTCTCCCTCCCGCAGGCTCTTAGGACCCAAACTCAAGAGTTAGGACCTACAGATTTTGGGGGTAACTCCCGAGGAGGGGAACAGGTGACATTATCTTGGAATGTAAGAGTCAGAGGGCCTACCAACAGGTTTTAAAGTTCTGGAATCTTCTAAGTCTCTGGGTTCTCTCTCCTCCCAGCAAAATGTTTCTTCATTAAGCAGGGGCTGAGCTGGGGAGGGGGCTGCAGCTGGGGATTGCAAGACAGATGTGGCTGGCACAGCTCAGTGCTGGGGAGCACTTGGGGAACACCCCTCCTCACAGTGGGATGGGAGAAAGGAAAGGCAGGTCCAGGATCAATGAGGGGAGGAGCGGCAGGGCTGGAGAAAGGCGCGGGGGGGGGGGTGAACAGGGGGGGCAGGGTGGGGCGGGAAACAGGCCGGAAGGAGGTGAAAAGCCAAGACCCAGGGCTGGGCGTCATCCAGGTGAAAACCTTTCTGCCTCCTGGCTCTTTGGACCTGGCTCCTATGGTGAGTACCTGGTCCCGGGGCTGGGCGGGGTCCCAGGGGGCTTGGAGTGTGGTTGGAGTCTGGGGCACCTGGGCCGGATTCCTGCACGTCCTCGACCGCGGGACAGTGGCTGCACCCGCCCAAGGGTCCTGGGTCCTGGCCACATTCCGGGGTCAGGAGCCCACGCTTCTCACCAGTTTGTGCCCGCATAGCCAAATGGCTCTGACCCTTGACGGTTTCCCGTTTGTATTTGTGATGTTTCTAGACATTCTGAATCTCTGTCCTCACGCTGACACCGGGGAAGCTTGGATGAGAAGCTTTAATTCTGCAAGCCTCGGTTTTCCCTCTATTGGCATGAGGCTGCAGTGGAGGTTAACTGCGAGGCGAGATGCCACTCAGTGGGTAGTCACCTGTCACCATAGTCAAATTAAGAGAACCGGGTGTTACTAGCCAAGGTCTGACTCTTTGGGATAATTTTCCTTTTTCTTTTCTTAGCCATTTTTCCTTCCTTTTCTGAGACTGGCCTCCTTCCTCAGCCTCCCGAAGGCTGGGTTTCACTTTCTCACCTTGCTGGAGAGGAAGGTGTGGTCACAGGGGGTCTCCATATGGCTTCAGGGTTTGTGCAGCCTGGCTCAGGCAGAATCCCCTCCTTCGAGCTTGGTGCTTCCCTCCCTGGCTCAGGCTATGAGGAACCTGGGGGTCCGGTGGACTTCTCTGCGATCCTAGAGGTCCAGAGTCCCGCAGGCCCTGCCCTGTGCTGGGCATCCCAGGGCTGACCAACCCCAGCCTCAGGGTCCCCAGGCATCAGGGTGGAGCTGGGGCAGGTGTGTTTGTTTTAATCTTGATTACTCGGGTCTTTTTTCTGTGACATTTATCTCTGACAGAATTAAAGTGATTATTGTAAACTTGACGTAAATGCCACCGGAAACAGTCAATTGGATGGATGGGACCCACTTGGACAGGTGGGGACACAGTGGGGACTCGGAATGACCCTAGAGGTCAGGACTGTGAGGCTGCTGTTGTGAGTCCTGTTGATTTAAAGGAGTGAGGATCTGGGCCTCACCTCCCCCGCCTCAGTTTCCTGGTCTGGGCTGAGGGTATGGATCCTGGCTCCTTCCTTCCGGGTTCCTGGAAGGGGGAAGGGCGCCTTCTGTGAATCTTGCCAGTGGCCCCACACCTCATACCGGGAAGCTAGGATGTGACAGGCAGGGCCCGGGCAGCCCAGTCACTATGAACACCTGGGGCGAGGCTTGCCATACTTTATCTTTATAGGAATTCTCTTTTTGTTCATAAAAGTAAGTCCTGGCACCTCCTAAAGAGAAACTTGTCAACGTTGAGGGAGGGCAAATTGGTACAATCCGGAGAGAACCACCCTGGGGTCAGAGCTAGTGTCCAGCTCGCTCTGCCCAGTCTGGCACTGGGTGGCCCCGGGCATATGTCTATGACCTGCTTGCCAGCTGGGGACCAAGGCCCACCCGGGGACCCAATTGGGACACTTTCAGAAGCTCCAACCTCCTTTACAGTCCGCAGTCTGTGGAAGAGTGTCCCTGAGTGTTCTGAGAGTTTCCCCAAAGGTCCAGACAGCCATTGTCTGAGCCTCCATGTCACCCCTCCCATCCCTGCATCTCCCAGGGATCAGGCAGGAGCCAGTGGCTCATAAATATTCATAACTTGCTAGTTCAGCACATCATTAAGATGCAGTATTTGAACCACAAATAGTAATGATACCAGGTCATGATTATTCAGCGATTCATTAATATTAAGATGAAATCGTTAATATCTACATCATCACTATGAAGCATGGATCCTTAATACCTTGTTTGGGTCACTAATATAAAGTGTGGACTGTTTACTAACACGGTCATTGGGTCATCATGCACATGCTCAGTAGTGGGGCATTGGTTTTTAAGCTTTGTCCTTTTATTAGTCAGTGCCTCGTGAGTATTCAATACCCATAATATTCAATGGTACATTAATATGCACTGAATAATTAATATCTAGTGACACATTAATACAAAGCATCTCATTAACAAGCAGCATTTTCTTTATGTTCCCTGGCTTATTTGTAGCCAGCAGCTTATTAACCCTAGTGGTTCATTTGTAATTAGTGCCTTTTTAATATTCAGCGAATCTTTGGTGTCTGGCTCTTCTGTATAGATGGTGGTCATGGACGTTCCCAGCCAATGACCATACTAATCCTCATAGGCCAGGCTGTAACGCCAGTGCGGGGCCCCTTTACGAGCTCAGCCCTGGAGAAGAAAGAATGCCTAATTTTCAAAATGTGTATTTTTTTTTTTTATTTCTTGCTCTTATTTCTGGAACAGCAGCTGTTAATGGATGGGCCTCAGGGACATAGAGACCGGGTGTAAGGATTCAAGCATTACTCTAGCCTGCCCCTGTCACCTGGCAAAATGCACTCAGGCAGTACTCTGGTCAGCCCAGGGTTCCATGAGTACTAGTCTGTAGGCAGGTGTAAAGGACCCTTTAAAAGTCAGACCCTTGACCACTTACGCTCTCTTCCTCTCTCTCTTTTTACTTTCTCTTTTGCTCTCTCTCTCTCCTGCTTTCGGTTGGCCACCAGGTACTCCCCTCTTCTCTCCCTCTCTCTCTCCCCCTCTCCTCTTCTGTTCCCGGTGCCTCTATGTCTCTTCCCTTCTCCCTCACTGCCCTTTCTAAATAAACTCCTCATTCAAGCTCTATCTGCCTGGCGTGTTATTCCCTCCCGCCTCGGTCATCCTCACCTGCTATGGAACCTGCTATGCTCTCCTACGTGGTCCTTTACCTTGGGACCCCACTCACTTGGAGCCCTCGTTTGGGACCACTCACCCCACCCCTTCTCCACCTTTTATTCTTATAACTGTAAATAAAGAACAACACCGGGAGCTCAGTGTCTGCAGCTGTCCAGAGTCAGGAATATTCAAACATTCAGGAATTTATCTTTGAGTCTCTGACACCCAAGACTTCTTATGTTTTGGAGTTTTGGGTTGTTTGTTTGTTTCTTGGATTTTTGAGTCAGGGTTTCTCTGTGTAGTCTTGGCTGCCTAAAACTCACTTCTGTAGATCAGGCTGGCCCTGAACTCACAGAGATCCATCTTTCTGCCTCCCAAGTGCAGATTAAAGGAGTGCACCACCACCAACCAATGCAGTGAGGGAGTGCCAGTGAGCAGGCACGTGCTACTCAAGTGTTCCCAGCCCCTCCAGGGGGGTCCTAGGCTCTCACTCCCTGCCTGCCCTAGCCTGCTCTGGCTACCCACTTCTGTCCTCCCAAGCCCCTCCTCTCTTGCTGATATTTGATACTGTTCTTTTGTATGAACTTGTCAGCCACCACAGGGAAAACTGGTTCCTCTGTCCTCTCCTCCCCCTCTGTTGGTGGGAACAGCTGCTCTGGGCTCCAGGCTCATGGGAGGGAGGGTCCCTGAGAGCTCAGGGGTCCCCGAGCTCCCAGGAGAGGCTCCTGGGCCCTGACCTTCCCTGCATGGGGAGAGAACAGGCCAGAATAGATTCTCCAAGGCCTTCTGTGACCTCCAGTTCCTGACACTGTACCCCTCTTCATGCCTTGCTGGTGATAGGGAGCAGTGTGCATGTACAGCAGTTCACCCATGCATCCAGGCCCCTCCCAGAGTTTGTGTCCCAAGCCGCCACCTCCCTGTCCTTGGACCCTCAGACTTGGAAACAAGCACCTTTGCTGCTGAGTCCTCCCGAGGCAGCTCTTGCTCCTCACAGATTTAACCTCAGGCCATGGTGGGTTGGTAAATATCCATGAGGCTAGCCTAGGCTACACTGTGAGACCCTGTCAATGTAGGTAGGCATTCAGAGACGCTGGAGGTGACAGGTGGCCTGGGTTCTTTCCCAGTGTGCTCACATGGCGCTGCCTAAGCCCACTGCTGCTGCTTTTGTTTCCCACCCTGTACTAGCTCTCCCTGCTGCCACTGTCCTCCCCTATGCATGCTGCAACTGCCCAGGCATCCCCTGTGCCCCCGGCACCCTAAGCTGTCAGCCTCACCTCATCCTTCAACCTCAGCTCAGTGTCCCTGCTACCTCAAGCCTGGGCCCACTTTTCAGCCAGGCCTTCAGTGTCTCCCAGGGCTAAACCCCACATTCAGGCATCAGGCTCATCCACTTCACCATTCCAGTTAACTCAGCTGCCAGGGCATCTTGGAATGAACTAGATCTTTTCCCCCTGTAGTTTGTCTGTGATCTGCCCTGCTACCTGAATGGCCTCAGCCTCAGTACCCTTCTCTCGGTAGGCTCCTGGCTCTTAGGGTCTTGTCCAGAATTAAGGTGCCTCAGCTTCTTGGCACCTACACACAGAGTTGTTGATGGGATGAGGAAAATTCTGTTTAGAGCCAGGGGCTCAGTTTGTAGCCTAGGCTGTCCTGGAACTCACAGAGATCCTCCTGCCCCTGCCTCCCTAGTGCTAGGATTAAAGGCGTGTATCACCATGCCCTGGCATGTGTGAGGTTTTAACAGGAGCTTTGGTGGTTTGGCAAAATCTAAAGATCTTGGCCACATTAACAAAAGTCTAGCCTAGGCAGGAAGAATCTCCTGAGTCTGACTGAAGCTACTCAAACTTCAGGAAAAGCCTGAGAGCTTTTGAATGAACTAATGATATATTTCAAACCCATAGGAGCCATGGGGCAGGGTCTGGATGCTATTCAGGGACCTGTTCATCAAGAGGAGCTGAAGGACAGCACAACTAATAAAACTTTTCTTATGCAAAGGGTTTTTACAAATCAAAAGCAGTTTGTGTGGCCCTAAGGTCCTGAGGCAGGAGGCCTCCAGCACTTTTCCTGGGGTCCATTTTGTTCTACTTGGAGGTTCAGAGAGGTCAAGCCACTGTGTCAAGTTCACAGCAGAACCCATGGCACAGCACCAGGAGGCAGGCCTGGTCCAGGCACCAGCAAGTGGGTTTGCTCGAGACCTACAGTTTCAAAGGCACTTGTTAACCACCTCACATCATTTCAGGTGCCATTGGGGAGACCAAGGGCAGTGTGGCTCAGTGTGAGGATCCCAAGACAGACTGAGGTAAGTATCAAGGTTCAGAAGTTATTCAGAAATGCTCTGTGTGCTGTGACACAGGGGTGTCATGGGTGTCCCCTCTAACCCTGCAGACACCTAGGTCAGGGCATGTGGACACACAGCCAGGCTGTGTGGGGGCAGCACCTGACTCCAGGGATGAAGGGTGTGCTTCTGCGTGTCAGTGAGTGTTCAATGGTGGAAGTTCTGCTCTGAGTCTCATCTAGAACTTAACTGCTGCAGCAGGACTAGAAGGCAACAGGAAGAACAGAGAGCACATGCAGGGTCAACAGGGGGCAGGGTTGCAGGGAGAGGAGGGCTGAACCCAGAGGTCTGCAAGGAGAGCCAGGCCTGGTGACACTGGCATCCCAGCAGGCAGGATGTAGGACAGGAGGATGGACAGATCAAGGCCATCTTCAGCTACACAGCAAGGCTGAGGCCAGCTTGGGCTACAGAGCCTTGTATCAATGGGGAATAAAAGTTTCCTGGGAGTGAGCTCATTTGAGCTGGGGTTCTAGTGCATCTGTAAGAGTTGACCACAAACATCCAATGCTTTCTCCCACCTCATGTTGGGTGGGACTGGACCCGGAGCAGCTGGATAGACAGACACAGGACAAGATGCCACCAATAATGGGCCTAGACCAGAAGTACCGGGGAACAGGAGGGTCAATGAAGGATGCCTGGAAAATGGAACATCCAAAATGGGTTTTGAGGGAGGCTAGGAGTTTGCCAAAGGAGACAGCTGGAGTCGAATGGTCTGTGAGGACCGGGTTTGGGTTCAAGTCCAGTGAGGGTCAATATGGGTGGGAGGGGGGCGAGAAGGAAGTGAAGGCGCCTGTCCATCTACAGGTGTTATGTGTTGGGGTGCACAGCTCCTGTGACCTTGTTCTAGCCCCCCCCCACGCTATGCGGCTGTCCCGGCTGTGCCCCAAGGTGAGCCTCCTCCTGGCCATGGTCATCTTTGTGCTGCTGCTCCTGTCTCGCGTGTTGCCACCCACCTGCCCCACCCCCGAGAGGTCCTCAGATCCCCAGGAGGTCTCCATGTGGCCCCCGGACTCCCTGCGCGTGGACCCTGCCCTATGCCAGGCCAACTTGTCGGTGGCCGCGCACCCCGACTTCGCGGCGCTGCCCACGCACGTGCGTGATTTCCTGCTGTACCGGCACTGCCGAGAATTCCCGGTGCTGCAGGAGCCATGGGCCACCAAGTGCGCACAGCCCGTGTTCCTGCTGCTCGCTATCAAGTCGTCGCCAGCCAACTACGGGCGCCGCCAGGTGCTGCGCAGCACGTGGGCACGCGAGCGGCAGGTGCGCGGGGCACTGCTGCGCCGCCTCTTCCTCGTGGGCAGCGACCGCAACCCGCTCCAGGCGTGCAAGTTCAACCGGCTACTGGAACTGGAGGCACGGGCTCACGGCGACATCCTCCAGTGGGACTTCCACGACTCCTTCTTTAACCTCACGCTTAAACAGGTGGGCCAGGGAAATGGGGTTCTGCAGTATGCGTAAGGGGAAGGCCTGCAAGATGCAGGCCCGGGGGATCCCAGCATTCTGAGCGTTCCCCACTCCACCCGTAGGTCCTCTTCCTGGAGTGGCAACGGACTCGCTGCCCCAACGCCAGCTTCGTGCTCAACGGAGATGATGACGTTTTCGCGCACACAGATAACATGGTCACCTACCTTCAAGGCCACGACCCGGACCGCCACCTCTTCGTGGGTCACCTGATCCAGAACGTGGGCCCCATCCGCGTGCCTTGGAGCAAGTACTTTGTGCCCACGCTGCTGTCGGCAGATGAGTACTACCCGCCCTACTGCGGCGGAGGCGGCTTCCTGCTATCGCGCTTCACTGTGGCCGCACTGCGTCATGCCGCGCGCGTCCTCCCAGTCTTCCCCATCGACGACGTGTTCTTGGGCATGTGTCTGCGGCAGCAGGGTCTGGCGCCTGCCTCGCACAATGGGGTGCGCACGGCGGGGGTGCATGCCCCCAGCCCCCGCCTTTCCTCTTTCGATCCCTGCTTCTACCAGGGGCTGCTCCTAGTCCACCGCTTCCTGCCATACGAGACCCTGCTGATGTGGAATGCGCTGAGCCAGACCCAGCTCTCCTGTGGCAAGAAGAGCGGGGTCTACTGAGATACTGCGGGGTCAGCAACCTTCTGCTCCTGTCAGGAACTAGCAGCCAGCTGACCCCCGCCCCCCCCCACGATGGGCGGGACACTCATGGCCGTGTCATCACTATGTCAGCCTTACCTGGCAGCTCAAGCTTTACCTGGCTGCCAGAGGACTCAGTTACGCATGCGCAAGCCCCCTCTCAAAGCAAGCTCACCAAGCGCGCACCTCTCTCTGGTCTGTCTCTGATTTCTCTCTTGCCCCTTTTGCTCTCTCTCTCTCTCCTCTCTCTCTCCTGCTTTCGGTTGGCCACCAGCTACCCCCTCTTTCTCTCCCCTTCTCTCAATAAACTCCATGTGGGCGCTGAGTCTCGTGTTTGTGTTTCTTAGGCATTAGCTGCAGCAAAAGAACAACACTGTCCCCACCTGCCCAGGGAACTCCTATGTAGGCTTCAAAATCCTCTTGGTACTGCTCACAGTAGGCTCTCTGGATTGAGTCAAATGTGAGCCGGCCTATGAGTAGTTGCTAAGAAGTGTGGTGGGAGTGGTCCCTGGTTTCAGGTCCCTGGTATCAGGCTTCTGTCTTGCACTGGGCCTTAGTCTCCCTCGGCCCCCAAGGAAGTGGAGTAGGTGGACATTAGCTTGGTTCCAGTAGTGTCCCCCAAGGGTTTAGGGAATATCAAAGGGTTGGAGGGGTCCTGTGTCCCACAGACTGGGTGATGGAAAAATAAAGTCTGTTGAAGGCTGATGGTGACAGTTTACAGTGCATAGCATTCGGCCCCTTCTGTTTTATGGGTTTAAAATTAGTTTCATTGTATATAACATGCCATGGGGGCAGGAAAGGTTCTCCCTTCCTCGGTGTAGCTCCTGGGACTTGAACACCAATCCTAGGGTTTGGTAGCAAGCACCTCTATTCACTGAGCCCTCTTGCTAGCCCCCTTCTTATTGTATTTTTTTCAGCACCATTCACGTCCTAATACTGTCTGCTCTATTCCACCCTCTTTTACCTTTAATATTAACTTGCAAACTTGAGTATCCCATTGTGACATCTTCATGTCACAATCCTGTTGTAATTTTAAGAAAAGCGTCATGAGAGAGAAAGTTGCCACCACGTGACAGGGTTCACAGAGGGGTTTTTCTTTGGGAAAGGGATCATAAAAAAGGCCGGCCTCTGGGGATGAGAGCAGCAGGAGAGGGGAGTGGGGGGAAAAGATAGAGAGAGGGAGAGAAAGAAAAAGAAGGCTGGGAGGTGGGCAGGCCCTTTTAAAAGGGAATGTAGTGAATGTGCACAGGTGGTGCTCTCAGTGGCTGCAGCTGAGGGTGCATCCAGTCAGAACCCCAAGGGCAGGCCCCCTTGCTCCCCTCTCCCATTCACTCATGCTTTTTGTTTCCTTTTTTTTTTTTTAAAGATTTATTTATTATGTATGTAGTGCTCTGCCTACGTGTATGACTGCATGCCAGAAGAGCGCAACAGATGGTTGTGAGCCACCATGTGGGTGCTGGGAATTGAACTCAGAGCCTCTGGAAGAAAAGCCAGTGCTCTTAACCTCTGAGACATCTTTCCGCCCCCCCCCCTTTTTTTTTTTTCGAGACAGGGTTTCTCTGTAGCTTTGAAAGCTGTCCTAGAACTAGCTCTGTAGACCAGGCTGGCCTCGAACTCACACAGATCAGCCTGCCTCTGCCTCCTCCCCCAATCATCTTTTGAGGGTTTTCTCTTTTTTTCTCTCTCCAAAGGTCGAGGTGGAGGAAGCCTGGCTCTCACACCCTCCATAGCTCCCAACACTCTCGGCCTGTGGAACTCAGAACCACCCAGACCAATCTGGTCTCTGGTTGCCACCTCAGAAGTCTGACCCAGCACTGCCAATGCCCTGTGGGTCGTTTGTTTGTTTTCCACAGAGTCTAATGTAGCCCAGGCTTGTCTTGAGTTCCCCTTGTAACCAAGGATGACTTTGATCATCTATTATGAACTTCCAATGCCCCTGTCTCCACCTCCGAGCTCTGGCAGACACAGGGCAACACATCTGGTGTTTGCTGGGGCTGGAGCCACTTAAGAGTGTCAGATGAAGCCAGGAGGTCGTGGCCCAAGCCTTTAATCCCAGCACTCAGGTGAGTTTGAGGCCAGCCTGGTCTACAAAGCAAGTTCCAGAACAGGCTCCAAAGCTACACAGAGAAACCCCATCTCAAAAACAAAAACAACAAACAAACAAACAAAAGTGCCAGGTGACCCCCTTCTGCCTATTGTGCCCCTACTGTGTACCTCATACCTGAGGTGTCAGCGGAGGTAAAGGCTGAAGAGGGGGTCGAGTAATCTGTCCTCCATGCAAAGACTGCAAACCACCCCAAGGCACATCAGCTGTGCATTCTGGGCTAAAAGTGAGAGGGTGCAGGGAAAGGGCAGGATGGATGACACGGGTCTGGGTTTTACACTAGAAAGCTTGGCAGAGGAGCATGGAGCACAGCACGATGCTCTTGCTCATGAGCCCTCTGTGGCTCCCTATTGCCCCGTGGAAAGTCCCAGCCTCCACCCCACCCAAGGCTCACCTGCTGGGGACCTCCATGTGCCCTTTCTCAGAAACAGTCTTGGTCCTGGTGTGACAGGTATGATATTGTTGCTGGCACAGCCCTGGTCCTGTGTCACCTGAGGGTACAGAACTCTGTGCCTGTCCTGAACCTTACTCTAGAACTTGGGGTTAAGGATCCCTACTTGGGCTCAAACCTGCTTGACTTTCCCAAGCAGGAAGCCCTCAGCCTCAGTTTCTTCAGTGGGTCCTGGTGTCACCTTGGTTCTGTGTAACCAGAGCAGAGTTGAAGCCGGCCACTGCCACCCATCCCTGTGTGGCTTTTCCCAGACAGACTTCATACAGAAGTTGCTTTTTATTTAGAATGTTCAGGACACAGTGGGGAGAAGGGACACAGGCTCCTCCGGGGACAGGACATGTGACCATCCTTTTCTAGGATCTATGAATAACTGGGGCTCCTTCGAGGCAAACCTGGGGTGTTCCATTCACACGGGTCCCAGGAGGTATTGGCCTGAGCAATCAAGGACCCGTTTGAGCCCAGCCCATTCAGTGGGGACAGAGGCGCAGCAGGTCTTGCTGGGTGCAGCCAGTGAGGCAGCATCGGTGTACAGGGCTGGTGGCTGTACTGCGGCGGCGGCGCTGAGGAGCCTGGGGAGGAGGTTGTGGGCCGGGGTCCAGTGCGGTGTCCGCGTCAGCCGCAACTGCATGCAGGAGCTGCCGATGCTCTAGCCACCGCAGCAGCTCCCCTGCAGGCAGAGCAGGGTCCCCTTAAATCCCTCCCAGACACCCACCGTCCAGTGGAAAAAAAGAGCCTTACTGAATACTCTGTAACTCCCAGCTGTTGCCCACACTCACCTCCCGACTGTGTGTCCCCATATACCTCCTGTGTGCCCCAGTTTCTGGGCTTGGAAGGCTGGGGTCCCTAGGACTGGGATTCCCCCTATGGCTCCCTGGGCAGCACCCCCAGTGTTGGGATGGAGCACCCATGGCTATGAACAAAGACAGAGGGACCTGTGTCCCCTGGGGCTGGAGATGGAAGTCCCCCTCGACCTCAAACATCCCTCCTCCCCCGTCCTTCAGTGACAGCCATATGTCAGTGATTCTAGCACTGGGACACCAAAGCAGGAGGATTATTGTGAATCTCAGGTCACTTTATGTTGTTGTATAGTGGAAATCTGTCTTTAATAAACAATAAGCCTGATGGTGATGTCTCATGCCAGTCATCCAAGCATGCAAGCCTAAGGTGAGGAGTTCAAGGTCATCCTCTGCTACATTGTGAGTTTGAGTCCAGCCTGGGCTATATGAGACCCTGTCCCACAAATACAAAAGGGGAAAAGTTAAATTAAAAAAAAAAAATTCACAAACTCTCAGTCTCCTGTTATTGGGGGCGACACAGTGTTCAGTCTGCCCCTCTCTATTTCCTCGTATCTACCCTGCCCATCCCATCCCCACTCACGGTCACTGGTGTCCACGGACTGCGTGGCCTCGGGGGACCAGCGTGGGCCCCCGCACACCTGCACAAGCGCGCGCACCAGGTGGTGGCCACAGAGCTTGTTGCTTGCCTCAGGGGCCTGCGGGGGTCGAAATGCAAGCTCCAGAGCAGGAAGCAGCAGCAGCAGAAGCAGCCTTTGTGTGTACATGGTGGCTGGAGGCAGCCTGTGCCGATGCCCCTTATAGTTGCCTCGCACCGCCCACGGACCTTGGCGGGAACACCATGTGCAGCACCGAGAAGGTCGATGCTCAGGTCATGGTCAGGGGCTGTGAGTCCAGCCGGGGACCCTGAAATCCCTCTCCCAGGTGCCAGGACCTCCCAACATTTTAAAACAAACCAAGAACTCCTATTGTAAGGGTGGCTCCCACATGTCTTGCTAGCACTGGGAAAGCTGAGGCAGGAGGATTGCTGTGAGTTGGAAGTGGTTTGGGCTGTGAAGTATATGGGAGGGGGGCATTTATAACTTGGTTTTGTCCAAGAGGGAAACTGAGGCTGGGAGAGGGGAGGGTAGAACCTGAAAGACCCTGTCCCCTGCTCCGCTATCTTAGGGGCTCTTGTGGGGGACTGCTGGCACAGTTCTGGCCCTGCCCAGCTTGGGCCTTGGCCTCTGACTGCCCCCCCCCCACTCCCAGGGAGCCAAGAACCGCAGTTGGGCAGGAGGGGGCTGTCCTTGAATCGAACCAAGGCCTCTCCTCCCAGCTGTTCCTCCCCAGAGTCCCACACTTGGCCCCCAAGCCTGAACCGCATGTAAGTCAGCTCTCCAACACCCCCAACTCCAGTCACAACCATCTTTTCTATTGAATTCATTTATTCATTCAACAAACACTCCCAGAGCCCTGTAAGGTTTCACTGCCCCTGTAAGGAACCCACAGGGGAGGGGAGATGGGAACTGTCGCAGACCTGGGGTCAGGAGAAAGGGTTTGGGTCCATTTCTGAAGGAGGCAGAATGGTGTTGGGAAACTGGTGTCATGGAGTTCTGCAGGAGGTGGTTGTGGCAGGAAAGCATTCCCCCGAAAGGTTGAAATGGTAGGTCAACCTGTGAGGGGTGGCACCCAGAAGTGGACAGCTCCCTGCTGCAGTCACACAGCCAGCCCGCAGAAGCTGGCGCTCACCCCTGGCTGCTATCCAGGGCTTCCACGCCACAGCGCGTCCAGCTGTGGACTCAGGGCGCTGAAGGCCGGCCGGTCTTGCGGGCTGGGAGCCCAGCACAGCTGCATAAGCTCCTGAACCTGAGGGCCGGGAGACGAGGTGGGCGGAGCCTGAGCTGACAAGCGTGGGCTTTGTTGGCCCCACAACTCACAACTTTTCGTGGCCCCCTTCGGAGCTCAGGATAGAAACTAAACAGGCTTGCTGTTCGCTCACCCCCATTCTGTCCGGAGGCAGGGTCTCAGTAACCACGACTGGCTTCAAACTCGTGGTAATTCTGCCTCAGCCTCCAGACTGCTGCGGTGACAGACACACTGCCACACCTCGCCCCACATTTGCTTCTGCCTATCACTTAAAGACACCCCATCCCACCTATGGCCGTGTCTCTTGCTAGAAATGACTTTTCCAAGCTATTCCAACAAACACTATTCATGCCTGGAAGAGGTCTGGCAAAGCCTGAATCATGCATGGTCTTTTAAGGCGCCTTAGAAAGGGTAGCTCAGTGGTGAGTGATTGCTTAGCATGTGTGTGTGTGTGTGTGTGTGTGTGTGTGTGTGTGTGTGTGTGTGAGAGAGAGAGAGAGAGAGAGAGAGAGAGAGAGAGACAGACAGACAGAGAGAGAGAGGCCCTGTGTTGAATTCTCAGGGTTGCAAAAAAAAGTAAACAATAAAAGAAAAATTAAAATGTGGATTCAGGAGGGTTGTGGTGGTAAGGGGAGACTGAGGCAGGAAGATCGCAGCATCTTGTCTTAACAAAGGTAAAATGACATCATTTTTGAAACCCTCACCGCTGAGCCTCCCTCATTCTGCATATGGGAAACTGAGGGTCTGCAGAGCACCTGCCATTAGCCACTCAGGGGGGGGGCAGGACACCAGCTGTTAATAATGGCAACTGAGCGGTGGTGGTGGCTCACGCCTTTAATTATTGTACTCCGGAGGCAGAAGCAGGAGGACCTCCTTGAGTTTGAGGCCAGCCTGCCTGGTCTACTAAGCAAGTTCCAGGACAGGCTCCAAAGCTACACTACAGAGAAACCGTCTTGAAAAACTACTACTACTACTAATAATAATAATAATAAAGACTGGAAACTGGGAAACTGAGTCGGCCTTCCTTACCTCTATGGGGCAAGAAGGAGGTGGCGGGAGGCGGCAGCCCTCAGTCAGCAGCTCCAGGAGGCGGCAGAGAGCAGGCCCATCTCGCTCCGGCCCTAACATGCGCAGGAACTCCTGAAGGAAAAAGGGTTGGGGGTCAGAAGGGAGGGCTGGGGGAGACAGGACAGGAGGGAGGGTTGGGGTCAGGAGGACTGGGGGAGGGGCGGGGGGGAGACTCACGGCGGATGGGCTGCAGCTCTTATCGCTGTAGGTGAAGAGCTCGTACAGCACCACGCCGAAGCTCCACACGTCAGATTGGCGGGAGAAGATGTTGTCAGACAAGGATTCTGGGGCGTACCTGTGGGTAGGACAGGTGTGTGGTTGGATCACGGTTATGGGTGTGGCCAGGGAAGGAAAGGGGCGTGGCCGTGGCGGGACGTGGTCAGCGGCCTACGTCTTGGCTCTGCCCGCCCGAAGCTCGGATGCTCCGGGGCACTAAGGACGCATGTGGGCGTGGCCAGGCTGAGGGCGGAGTTTGAGACACAAGCTTTGGACGGTGGGCAGCTAGGCAGAAGTTGCGTGAGGGGAGGAGCCAGACTTGGGACAGAGTGGAGGTGGGTGACATTATTGGAGGGGGCGGAGTCGTGAAGCATGAAGGGTGGGACCGCGGAGAGAGGTGGGTCTACGCAAGAGCCGGCCACAGGGCAGTGCCTGGGTGGGACGAGGGTGTGGACACCAGGTGGAGCCTGAATGGAGAGAGGCGTGGCTACGCTGCCTGGAACGCCCCCCCCCGTGGATGGGTGGAGCAGTCCTGTCTCACAGTGTGCGGGGCCTCATTGCTGTAGGCGAGGCCTTTGCGAGGGCAGCTCTAGAGATGGAGCCAGGCCTCGGAGGGGTCTCAGTGAGTGTGGCGTCTGGGGTCTGGGCTTCGCACCAGAAGATGGGGCTCTGGCCCGGCTCGCGGACCACGTAATAGTCCTTTCCGAGCGGTAGCAGCTTAGCGAGGCCGAAGTCCGCGATCTTAACATGCGCCTCGCTCTCAACCAGGATGTTTCGCGCAGCCAGGTCGCGGTGCACGCAGCGGCGCGCGCCCAGGTATTCCATGCCCTGCAAAGGGTCGTGAGAGCGCATGGGCCCCGGACCACGAGGCCCTAGAATTCTCGTCCCCCAACGCCAGACTCTCCGACCTCAGCCCCCCCCCCCCCGATCCCCGACCTCTGCGCTGGCCGCACCTTGCAGATCTGCCAGGCAAACAGCAGCAGGCGGCCGGTGTGCAGGCGTGCGCGGTGACGCTGCAGGAAATCCCGTAGGCAGCCGCTGGGTAGGTACTCCATAACCAGCCGAAGGGTCTGGCGACCTGCGGACAGCGACAGTGGCTCTCGTGCACCTTCTACCGGGTGCACTGGTTCGTTCAGGTCCCACCTATGAAGCTAGGACTCAGGAGGTCTCACGAACCTGTCCAAAGCCCCTGCTGCCACTCACCCGGACCGTAGCTGACTCCCCGGTACTTGACGATGAAGTCGCTGTGCAGCGCCTTGAGGATCTGAATCTCCCGCTGGAAGTCCCTCTGCTGGTCTGGCCCGCTGTGCTGTAGCTGTTTCACCGCCACCAGGGGTCCTGTATTGTCCCCCAGAGGGTCATAGCGGCACAGCTCCACGCTGCCAAAGTTGCCCTGTGAGAGGATGGGGGGTCAGCTGGGGCTGAGGGCTGCTGTGCCACGTGCCCTGACCCTTCACGCCCCGCCCCGCCCCCTCACCTTGCCCAGCAGAGAGATGTACTTAAGGTGCCTTTCCTCAAAGATGGTGGGGTCCTGGCAGGCATAGAGTTGGGCGCCACTGCACAGCTCATCTCGGGGACTCAGGCTGCCCGGTGTCGGGTCTGAGAGGAGCTCATAATCTGGGGACCACATGTGTAAGTGGGGTATCTTTCTCTGACTCACCCCCGAACATTGCCCTCTGTACACGACAGCCAGCCTGTGGGTACCTTGTGGGGAGTGGAAACTATCACTGTCCGGGCAAAGGCACTCTCTGTGGGACCCCAATGTCACACACAAAGGGGCCCCAGGGGAGGGTCAGAACCATGGAGCAACGACGGACTGAGACCCCAGATACCCCCAGACGACAACATTGTGTAGATAAAAATAAGATTAATGAGGTAAAACCAAATCAGAGGCAGGGAACCCTCCAGTTCCAGAGGCCAGCCTGAGCTACCTTGCAAAACAAATGCATATCGAGTCCTGTGTGTTGCTGCAGCTGTCTTAGCTCACACTGACTGTTGGAGCCAGCAACCTCAGGGGACCCTCCTCATCCCTGGGATTGCCCCCCCCACCTGACGTAATGAGGCCGTTGAGGTCCCTGAGGATGGCACGGAAGGAGGGCCGCTGGCCGCGGTCATACGCCATGCACTGAGTGATGAGCCCCGCCAGCTCGGTCCACTTGGGGGCCGGTAGCTGCCCCTGGTCCTCGTAAAACTTCAGTTTCTGGGGGGGGGCGAGGGAGACACCTGTCAAGTGGCTTCACCTTATCTTCCCGAGTCCCTGCTCCCAGCTCAGCGGCTGCCCCACCTTGGCAGGCTCCAGAGAAGTGATGTGCATGGGTCCTCCGCTGAAAACCTCCCACACGGTGGCGCCGAAGCCCCACTTGTCAGCTTCCAAGCCCAGGGTCCGGGCTTCCTGCAGACACTCGGGGGCCACCCAGGGGATCCTGTCGGTGAGCACTGGAGGACAAGGGAGGAGGTGGTCATCTTCAGGACACTACCCTACACACACACCCGTGGGCGTCCTGTGTGACTGCACATGCCTGCAGACTCAGGACACGGTGCAGCCACGGGAGGCTAGCTTGCACTCACTTTCTAGGCTCAGCACCGTAGGGCTGACGCCAGGGTCACTCAGCTTGATGAAAGGTGGACTCCCATCCATCCCCTCACGAGCCAGGAGCACTTTCCGCGCTGACACGTTGCCATGAGGGAGGCCTTTGTCCTCCTAAGTGTTACAGGTACAGGGAAGTGGGGATGAGCAGTTGATGAATGAATACTGTAGGCAAACTCCTCTGCATCCATCAAAGCCTATCGGATGCTGTCCAGATAGAACAGGTTCTGGCTACTCCCGTGGGCTCCAGTCATCTAGTAGTCCTAGTTCCCTTATGCTGACCTGACTTTACTCTCCCCACCTTTACATTCCCAGTGCTTTAGGGACAGTTAAAGTTCAGCAGCTTAGTGGTCAAGCCCTCTCTCTTCTCATTTCCTATCCTTTCCCCTTCCCCATCAAATTGTTGCTACTTGCCCTGCACTCTTTTTGTTTAGTTTTTCGAGAGAGGGTTCCTCTGTGCAGCCCTGGCTGTCTTGGAACTAGATCTGTAGACTAGACTGGCCTTGAACTGACAGAGATCCACCTGCCTCTGCCTCCCACCAGCTTCTGCCTCCCAAGTGCTGCCTTCTCCCTCGCCTGGTCACTCACTTGACACCTGTGGATGCACAGTTCTCACCCTTGATGCTCTCAGTCCTCTGAGCCTGCCCATGCCCTGTTCCCTCACTCTGAGATGTCTGTTCCTTCATCTA